TCGAAGAAACTATAGGGACCCCAAAACCTTCAGGTGCAGAGAAAAGCTCACTGAAAACTTTATCATCTCATACCTAGGCTGTCGGATCATGTGTCCCATAATTAGAATGAGTCGGACTATTAAAATTAATTTGTCATTTTTTGCTTATTAAGCATATTGCTCTCAAATGAGCAATCACCCTCACGTTGCAACCGTAAAAATGACAAAAATATTACTGACAGCTTTGATATCACAAGAGCTTGTTTCATTTTGCCTCAAAAGCGAATGCAGTCGCCAACTGTTCCAAGAAGTGCAGGAAGCTGCTCGTGCAGCAGATAATCATTGCAGAGGTTTCATAGTCGGTTCTGCGGGTGGTTGGTCCCTCTCCTTGTCTTCTTGGTGGGTGGCTCTTCTCGATTGACTTGCCAGCAATGTTGTAGAACACTGGGATGGCAATGTTCAACAAGGTGCTTGAATGCGTCATTCTACCCCTCGCATGCGCTGTTGGTGTTGCCCTCGCCTTGAAGAGTAGCGTCCATCACATTCCAAAGCTTAATTAATCAATTTAATTATTTTAATTTAACTTAGTAGCGACTACTTCTAATTATGGAATGCACGATCCGACATTCTAGTGAGCTTTTCTTCGCATCTGCTTGAAGGCTGGTGAGCTTTTCTCCACACCTGCCGGTTTTGTAGCAAGTTTTTCTCCGGTGAGCTTTTCTCCGGGATTCTGTTCCTTCATGATCTGCATACTAATCTTGACCATAACATACAAAATGACACCATATTTTTAGACTTTGCAAGAGCATTTGATAAAGTACCTCATAAGTGCTTGATGTATAAACCAGCACAGTTGAACCTGATTATAGACATCTTAAGCTGGATTCACGAATTCCTTAAAAACTGCATCCAGTCTGTTGTTGTTAATATACTTCCAATCTGGAGTCCACACCAAGTATATCTTATCAACGCACTTCATAATCGTGCCACCAGATTCACTAATGCTTCATGCTCATACAATGTCAGTGTATCGTCCCTAAAAGCTAAATCATGTTTAACTCTTGTCATTGCCGCATTTCCAGCCTCTCCCTTCCACTTGGTGCCAGACCTTACATTGTACCCCCAACGCGCAGGTCCCAGTGCACCCGTCATCTGCTCCAGGTCGCCCGCCCACAGTCCCACACTGTCACCTTTTCTTCCTCCCTTTTTTCCCGCGCAGCCAAAGACGGGAACAACCTTTCCTACAACATCACTGCCATCACCTGCCCACCAAGCTTCATAGAAAATGTCACCATTAATCTATCACAGTGAATTCATGTTGCACTTTTTCCAATTGTTTATTTTGTACACCTCACCCCTTATGTAAGTGAAGTGAATCAGCCCTGTCACAAGATATGAAAATGACCCTGTTGTGCACCTTTTTGAGCGGTTAAGAGCATTTGAAGTGCAAACAATAAACTATGTGTGGGCTATGAGAGGTGTCCGTGTTTATCATTTTTCATGACAAACAGCTTTTATCAGGCACCTGTTTTCTGGCTTCTCCCTATTTTCAAAGAGTTTGAGCATACGGGTGATGTTTTGAATGCAGAACAAGAATCTTTGCACATAAGCATGGGCAGAGAGAATAAAGCAATATTTATTGCAAATCGGACCATATCAACATGGCCTTCATTTTATTTTGTCTAGACATACAGGGAGTGGCTGATCCAGTGTTGCTGCATAGTTCTTGCTGTCTCTTGGCTTTCCACGTCCTTCGTTCGCTCGGTACTACCTATATAAATCCTCCACGCAGAAAATCGTCGACGCTGTGCTCGCGTTAATGGTGCCCGACAGTGCACATAAATACTTGTATGAAGCTCTTTTAGCACTGTTCAATGACAAATTTGTTAGGAAAACACTAACTGACCAAAGTTTTTGATTTACATGATTGAGAAATTTTCCAAACTATTTACCGCTTAACTATTCATAACATAAGTGCAGAAAAAAAAATGCATTTGCTTTTTTTCATAGGAATACATTACCAAAACTCAACTTTCGTCTGGCTGTGTTTGCATTCGTCTTTTATCAAGGGACTTCATTTGCAATAGCACACTAGCGCCAGACGCTACGAGCCATCTTGGCCAATCCTGCTCTGCGATTATAGCACGTGATAATAGCAAGTTCGGTAGACCGTTTTTATTTCTCCCTCCGTTCCGAGCATGTCAAACTGCGCATGCGTGAACTGCTATGCAGGGGTGCAGAGCTGAGCTTCCAAGACGAGTTTTAGTAGACCGCTTTCCACGCACCACATACCGCTGCTAGCAACCTTAATGGCAGCTAGAGCCAACGTTGCTAGATTAGGTCAGTTGTGAAACTTCTGCGAAAGGGGGTACCCCCCCCCACTCACTTCAATCTGCCTCCCGTCGTTTGAAGGGCCATCTAGATTTTAGTTTCGTAACTGTGTGTTCCACAAAGCAGAGCTGGAACGCCACCTAGAAAGCGAGTTAGAAAACCTGAGATTGCTGGCCAGGTATGATGCTTCCGTAGGCAAGGCAAGCCGAAGCTGATGGCTGCCAAGCTTGCTGTCTTCCTCCTCCTCCGTGTCATGACTATTACGTACAAAGAACCAAGGCAATGAAGCGGCGAAGTACGTTTCAGAAAAGACTTCTGCTGTGCCAGTCAAAATGGAGAGAAGTAGATTTGGTTTGTTTGAGAAATGCGAAGAAGCGCGGTGATCTTCAATCAAGGCACGGGCTGCTTGACATCCTCCACATGAGAGAAGAGGATTTTCGGAGGCGATTCTGCTTTGAGAAAGCAGACCTGGGTGCCCTTCTGTGGCACTCGAGGTCCCCGAGTCTTTCACCTCGGTGCAAGGTGTTGTTGTGTGACGAGGCACTCTGCATTATGCTGCGGCCTCTGGCCTACCCCAGCTGGACTCGTGCATACACAAGAGTCCAGCCTTCGGGTGATACAAAAGGGTTTACAGCTCGAACCTCGCGGAGAAGGCAGAGGTCTTCGTCGACCATGAACCGCAGTCCGAGGCATAATAACTATGTCCATGTGGCACCTAGTCATTAAAAGAAGTCGGAGCCGAAATGCCACGAGAAACGATTAGATGAATGGTTGGTTTTAAACTTTTCTCTCTACCTGTAGCTTTTAGGCAGGTACGGAATGAAGTGCGCAAAGAAACTGAGAGGAAGGGGGACCACCTTGCTCTTTCTAAGAACCACGATAATGTGGAAGAAGATGCAGAATATGTCGCATTTCGTAGCGTATAGACGTTTGCAAGTACAGCCTCTGGATGCCGCCATCTTGCCACCGGTGTAGGTAGATAGTCCGATAGTTGAGCATTGTTGAGGCTGTGGGTATGACTCCACAATGCTCGACCACCGGACGATCTACCCCCACCAGCAGCAAGAATGCGGCACCCAGAGGTTCTACTTGCAAACTTCTATATTACAAATGCTTTTCAGACAAGAGCGTGCAGGCGCAGGCACTGCAACCCGGGCAACCGCAGGTCGCCGTGGCAACCGTGCACTGCACATGCACCACAACCGATGCAGGGAGCAGCCCGTATGGCCTGCCACCAACCAACGAGTCGAGCGGGGCATCGGCATACGTCTTAAAATTGCGCTCGATGGCTCGCAGGCACAGTATGCAGCTGGCTACAGTTGCTGCAGAGGCAGCCAACAAATTTATCCCTCGTTTGTGTGCAAGAGCTTCTTGACCATCCTTCGGGAAAAGGGCAATCCTATCGTCAAACTCAGAGTTTTTGTTCTCCCCGGTTTCAGGCCTTTAAAAGCGCCACATTCATTGTAGTCGCCGATAGAACAGAAACTGCAAGGCGAGTCTTTCGAACGCCTGTCCTCCAACATGCGCTCAGCGCCTGTCGACGAGCTTATGTTGCGCCCATGCGCTCAAGACGCAGGGGCGTTGCCGAAGGCAGGAAGCTCCCGCTGGAAGCGGGACAACTGAAACTCCTCCCTGCCATTCTGACTTTGTCAGTAGCTATGCTGAGCGCAAGTTTGTCCGCGCCTTGCGGGGGTGTTGCAATGGTGTCAGAACGCCAAGCTCTCATTGGCCGATTAAAAAAAATAGTATGTGGACCTCAAGGTACCTAGCACCGAGGTCTACCCACTATCCTTCCAGTCAGAGCCGATCAGAACTCGGCGTCGTTCTGACGTCGCCACAACTCCTGCACAAGAAGCAGACGACTTGCTCTCCGTGCAGTCGCGTCGTCCAACGAAGGAGGGGCAAGCGTAGGGTGGCGATCCTAGTTGCACCACACCTCCTCCGCACGGCACCAATCCTGCTCGAGAAGTGTTGTTGCGTAGAGAATACGAGGGATGAGGTCAATGTATGTCGCAAAGCGAGATGTAAAATATAACTTCGCAGAATTTTCAGCCAGTCGCGCACACTAGTGTAGGCAGTTCCACGAGAGCAACTTGCAGTACACTCCGTCGCAGGTTAAGGGCAGGACAAGCACCTCCCACAAAGACACATTTTTTCCACCTTAGCAAAGCAAATGGTGGAAGGATTCGCTCTGCTGAAGTGGAGGGCTCTGTGGGCGGTGCTAGACTACACCGGTTACGTGTGTCAACGCAAGTCGGTCGGCACAGATAGACTCCGCACGCCACACCGTGGCCTTGGTTGCAACCTGCGTGGGACAACCACGATTCCCCCCACCCCCCCGTGGTGACTGTTCAACCAATTTTGCGTGGCTTTTCTTGTCATACACTTCCAAGGATTTTTTTATGCACTTCCTCCGTTTCCATTTCCCACAGGAAACGTGCAACTCCACGGTGTTGTTCTTACACACACCGGCAACGTACCCACCATTTTCAACTGGCTGCAGTTGAGCAACAGTGGCATGCCGGTATATAACAAAGGGTCCGATTTTTCAGCTACTGGTGCTGCTATCTAGGGGCAAGAAATTGGAGCTGAATTATTTTTAGTCGGTGCAGACACGCATTTGCGTATTGACTTTCCCTCATACAAGCACACAGAAGTGTCACAGGTAAAAAATACAGGAACATATTACGAATTGGTAGCACTTCCTAGAAGTATTTATTCTGTACAAGGCAATAAAAACAGGGAAGGGTGCACACTCTGCAGTTACATCAACTTTACCGAAACATGCCTACACGCATTTCTTAGGAAAGAGGTTATACATACTTACATATATACAGTTCTAGGTGCCTGGGGCATAATGTTTGGAACGATAAATACTAGACCATAAATAAGTGTTCTGTACAAAACCACGGATAGAGAAAACTTGGAAAAAAGACAAGAGGAGCTCAAAACACCACTCGCCTCAAATCGAGTCTCCAAATGTGGGAGGCAGTTGTTTGTATACTTGAGCAACAGCCAGAGTTCGTATTAGCTTGCAGACAACAGGTCTGCCTGTGAAACATTAAAATTCACAAACGATGGAGCGGTAGCGCAAAGGAATCTGCAGACCCAGTAACTACACCAACCCGACTAATCGGTTATTGACTGCCCGTTTTGTTTTAAACTGCATTTGTAGTATGTGGCAGGTTTCGAATAGCAGGACAAGCTCTTCCAACCAAACCCTCTGCTCTTCTCACCGTATCGGAGCGAATGCTGGAGTGGAGAAAACCCCCAATCATCAGGAGTGCAAAGCAGTGTGGGAGAGGCTCGCTCTCCTATTCTAAACCTGCAACAGACTACAGTGCTTCTCACTCAAAGAAAGTTCAGTTTAGACGTCCCCATTCAAAAGGACAAGAGTCAATTTCAAGCGATTAATTTTCCACAGGTTGTGAGGAGCGAATGTTGGGCATTCGCTGCCGGTGCGCTCTGCAGATACACTGCGGCTGCCACTCCGTCCCTCGCCTTTCCTTCGCCCATGACGGAACCTCCACGGCGTTCACCTTCGTGCCAGCGTCGAGGCCCACTTTCGAGCCACAATGCCGGATGCACCTAAACCGAATCTAACATATTTGGGTATGTCTGCAACGCTGACCGGCATTCAACCTCCCGCCGGGCACTCGCACGTGCAACGTTCGGCGACATGGACAAAGCAGACATTCTGTTACGTCGAAGGCTGGAGCAAGAGTGGAGCCAAAAAACAGCCGCCCAATCACACAGATCCTCTCCTGTCTAGAAGTGATCAAAGGCTCGTTCACACATACTACTACCTCAGTGTTGAAAATAGCGTTGACCTTGCTGATGTAGCACAGACTTCGTGCCAATTGGGTGATCCAGGATCCCTAACCTCGTCACACACAAAGCTGGAGCCGAAAGTTCACGCAGCAAGCTGATTGGACGTCGGCGAAGAAAGCGTAAAGTCATCGCCATGATACGCCAATAGGTGTGCTCTGTCAACTTTGGCCTCAACTTTGTGTTTGTTAAGGTTAGGGCCCCTGGATCAACCAGCGCTGTTCATAGCGTCGAATTAGTGCTGCGATTTACGTGCGACCCGGACTCGAAATTGATGCAGTTACTCGTGAACTGGTTGTCTCGAGGCCATCGAATAATCTACGCATCAGAGTCGCGACATTTTAGCCATCTCATTGCCTAAAATCGTTGCTGCCATTTACCCGAAGCTTTATCTGAAATCGTAGGAAGCATTGTTCCGTCCTCAAGAAATGTTGAAATCGTAAGAAGCATTGCTCCGTCCTCAAGGAACGTTGAAAACAGTCTGCGACATGGTAAGACATAATCACCCAAGCTTCCTCGCACTGCATTCAAAGCGCAGGAAGTGGCATTTTCACGTTGAAACTGTTGCCAATTATGCTCGCTCTACTGGGCTACAGGATGGAGGTGCCTGCCAGACGGCCTTTCATATCCAAGTCCATCATTATTTGGGCACAAACTCCGAGCATGCATTGGAAACGAGGGCTATGTCAACAATCGGTGTGAACTCGGCTGAGCCCGTGTCACACCAACGTTCGGATCGAATCGCGTGCTTCATGCCTCAAAAGTATCGACCACCAATGCTGCTCGAGGAGGTTCTGAAAAGAGCTTATCAAGTGTTGATGCTCGAGTCGGAAGTCCCAATGTACAAGCTTCACTCGCGCCGACATGTGCAACCCAGGGCACGAAAGTCTGCGAGACTCGCAAGGACGAATCTGTTATCACAATGGTGTCCGAATGGCTCGGCCCGCAAGGCGTGTTAGAGATGTGGCAAAGGAGAGCGCGCCAAAGCTTGAGCAATGCTCCCTCAGCAAGTCCTGCCGGAGCCGCACTCGTGGTGTTCTTTACCAGTCGCCAGCAGGACCAAAACGGCGGGGCATCTCTTTCGGACGCTTGACCTGCGGCGTGCGCTCATTGCCTTCCGGTGTGCGTTGGCCTCGCGTGCACGTTTGGGGCTCGCGCGACGCCTAGGCATTATCGGAGGTAGGAAGGTGATGCGGAAGGCGGCACTGGTTAAGGACCTTCCTGCAGTTCTAACCCGTTACCGACTGCAGTTGCAGCGAGTCCCTTTGGGAAAAAGGCTACTGCAGACTGAACGGTCTGCAGTACAAACCTCTAAAAACCTCGCCAGGAATTTCTCCTCGCAAAAGGCGGCTCAGGTGAGAACCCACAAAAAATGCAGCCAAGTTGTTGTCTTCTACGGGCTACCACAACGTTTGCGACTTGCAAGATTTATGACCTTCGAGCGGATTTTTCCATGAGTGGGAAGTTTAAATGTTTCCACGAGTGGGAAGTTTAAACCTAATTGAAACTTTTTTCCTCCGAGACTAGAGAATGAAACGTGAGTGTTTCAGAGTGCGTAATGTGTCACCACTGTGACATTTTTATGCCTGCCAAACCTAATATAAGCTTTCACTAGCTGTTCCTTCCGCGAAGCAGTGTTTCTCCGGAGCTTCCACACTTGCCAGCGCATGCTGACCAGTGGTGCCATTTCACTCCATTAGATATTTCTATTTTGCATTTTGATTGACATAGAACTTGGCGCAAGCCTAGACGCATTGATAAGAGTGCCTGGACACGAATGAAACGTGACTGGGTCTCCCAAACATACAAGTAAAAGGGAGCGTGCAATTCAAAATAACGGTTTTTTGAAGATCTTCGCAAACTCTCAGGATGTCCTGCAACAAATTCCCCGACAACCCCACATTTGTTTCAGCTGACATCCTAGACCAGCTGGCAAAGAAGTTAATAATTCGAAAGAAATCAAAATGGCGTTGGACACCAAACAGACAGGGATATCGTAGCACAATTGAGGGGTGGTGAGAACCCAGATGCTTGCACCGTTGCGGCACATCACGCGAACAACGACAAGACAATGCACCTTAAGAAATCAAGACAAATGCACGAAACGGATGCATGAAACTCTTCCCCCACGCAGCCTGCTGGTCAGCACAGCTTACGGCCACTTTAGAGACTGCGAGAGGGGCAGCCAACAAAGCTGCAACCCAGTCAACTTCAGTTGCGAGTGGCAAGGAAACGAACGGCAGATATTTTCCCACGCAAGTTCTTGTCCGGTTTGATCAAAATATGCGCGCACTTTACCACACACAGGTCCAGACCTAGGAAGTCAGTAGGCTGCGGAATCTCTCTTGCGACGATATTGCATGCACCTTGCCGGCACGGCTTCCTCTACTACCGTTGCAGAACTGAGAAAGAGTGATTTCTGTTCAATGTTCGCATCCCCGTGGATTGATGCAATCCGAAACCCTCACAAATAGCGCATTTGAGTCTTTGCCGCACACTTAGAGGTTGATTTCGTTTAGGGCGCCCGAAAACTCCACTCTGCGTGCGGTGGTGCTTCCCGTCGTTGTACACATTGTCTTTCCTCACTGCAGAGCGCGTCGACCTATGCTTCTTCGGTGGCGACTGAAGTCGAAGCCAAGGTGGTTGCGCACTTCCTCGTTCACGTGCCCACCCTTCAAAGTTCTTCGGGTCTCACCACCCGGAAGGCTTCGAGGAGCGCGAGGGTGCCAACACAGCCCCCGTTCCCCGAACGGGACGTCCCAACCGGGTCAGGGCCGGTCCGCAAGCACGGCATAGCCCCCGAGGTCGTCGATCTGGCGCACCCGCACTCGCTGCTTGTAGTGGTACTCGCGCAGGTACGCCCTCAGGCTACGCGGCAGCGGCAGCCGCGACGCGCCGTCGTACGCGATGCGAGCGCAGATGGCGGCCCTCGCCAAGTGCTGCAGCGAAAAGGCGAAGGTGCGGTGCAGGGGCCGCGTCAGCATCGGCTCGAAGTACATGCAGCAGGCGGGGTCCTTGTAGTGCTCCACCAGGCCGCAGACCGTGCGCGACGAGAACACGCCGGGGTCATGCGAGTCGAAGCTGAATCGGTGGTTCCACTGCTCCACCCGGGCGTGCAACGAGCGGCCGTAGCGCCGGAAGCTCACCGAGAACAGGTACTCTTCCTGGGCCGAGTCGCGGAGCAGGAAGCTGCCCTCGGGACGCCCTTCCAGCAGCCGCTCCGCCTCGTAGCGGTCCATCTTGCCCCAGTAGAAGCCGCACGCCGTGATGCCCAGCAGGTCGGGCACCAGGCAGTGCATGTAGTCCACCTGCGTGTGGACGGGCGGCTCCCACTCCCAGGGTTGCGGGCACGGCGGCCACGTCGGCACTATCGCCGCCACCTCCGCCGCCGGAGCCGCAACGACAGGCTCCGGCGCCACAGGGACGTCGTCCAATCGGAACCCCGGCGGCGGGTCCACGCCTTCCTCAATCTCGCGGGCGCGTTCCTTCCGAGCACGTTCGTCCCAGTCGTCCACCTGGTACTCTTCTTTCTTGGCATCCGCGGCCGGCGCCTTCTCCTCGGTGCGCCGGTAGCCGGTGCAGATGCAGCTGGCACAGCCGGTGGGCGGTTCGGCGGGTTCCCTGCGTCCGCCCAGCCGCAGGCCCCACGCGTTCCGGCGGGGTTTGGGCGTGTCCCGCGAGGACGCTGCATCCTTCGGCGCAGTGGTGGCGGCCTTGCGCCGGCGTCCGAATGTCATTGTCTTCAGCTTCTGGCGGACGCCCTTCTCTTCGGTCTGCGTAGCCGTGGACGACGAGGACGATGGGGAGCCGTCACGCTCCGCGGAGGCGACCTCGCCTCTGGCACCTGGCGCGTCCGCGGCCGTCCGTTCCGTGTCCGACATGGCGCTCCGGGGCTCCTGCCAACAATCTTGCGTCACCGTCTCTGAGCCGTTGCTGTGGGACGAAAGTGCCACGTGCCAAGGGGAGGCTGCATCATCTGCAACAAGAAAAGGTCACATGCACGACTGAGACTGAATGGGTCTGTGATTGGAAACTCTGCAAAAAGTGCTGCCACGGTGCCACGCAAAGTATCCGGTATTTTCAGTTCCATTTATTATTGTGTACATTACACTCGGCAACAACTCTTCTGTGCTGTGATGCTGGGGCCTTCGCGGCTTCCACAGTGCTGCAGCTCCGCACTACTATAAGAGCATGTTGCCTTGTCTTGAGTCTTAATTGCGCTCGCCTTCGTGCAAAGGAGATGCATAGCACTTTGAAAGCTAAGCTAGCCTTTACAACGTAGCACAAAGTAGTCCATGCCGAGTATGGTAACTTTGCCACTTGTACTGCTGCACAACAATATTTGCCGAAAAGACTTGAGGTACAAGCATGTTTTTTTTTTTAAAAAAAAAGAGCACCAATGAGGAATTTTTCTTTCCAAATTCTTTTATTAAAGATGTGTATGCCAATTAATATTCTGGCTAACTCTGCCTAATACAAAAGGTTGCATGAGCTCCAGACTATTTCTTTGATCTTTCCAAGATCCATCATAGTTAGGCTTTCCGGTTTTAACCAAAAAACACCAATGTTTTGTTTAATTTTAAACAAAAAATGATAAACAATTGTTGGTTAAAACAAAAAAAATACAAATTTTTAGAAATTTTCTTTCCAACTAGGACTGCTTTTGTCGAAACCTTCTCCTGAATTCTTAGTTTTTCATTTAAATTTTTTCACCGATAATCAGTTTTCAACATCCGTCCAAAACAAATCACTTAAATGTGCAGATTTTCGAAAAAATAATAAACACAAAAAAGCATCAACCCATTTTCCTCAAAAAAAAAAACAAAAAACACAGCAGTCTACGGCCTAATCATAGTCCAATTGGAAATGAGCTGGAAAATGTACAGCGTCAGACAATATTTGCTTGACCCAGACTCTACCCCAACATGCCCTTTTAGCCCAGAATGCCTTCGCAGAAAGAGTTGCTGCAGGGGCCACGGAATGAACAAGACACATATATGTTCGACACCTGCATGATGCCGCTAAACAGGGTGTGACAAAATTGTAGTTTGCAAGCGTTCACTCACATAGTAACCCTTTCACAGTCGTCGCAGTATATGTACGGAGGTGATGACCGATTTGAAAGTATCCCGTCCCGTCTAAATGCAAAACTGCGCACACCGCGAGAGGTATTGCTATTTGTCGTTTCTTTGGAGAGCCATAAAAGTTTTATTCATGCAGTGTTTTGCTTTGTTGGGCTTTTTGCAGTATTAAAGTTAGACACTCCACGCACGTGACGCTCACTTCGCATACCGGCCGCTCTGGCAGTCGTGCCAAAGGGAGCACTGGCTCTCCCGATTCAAAACTTCAACGCTTTTTGGAATTAAATTCAGAAAACAAGAGCTCATCGTCCGACAGAGAAGCGCTGTAAAGTGCCTTCGGTTAGGAATTGGAAGCCACTGGAATGTAGTGGATGAGGACGTGCCAAAATCAAACCGAGTGGATGAAAGGTGACGTTTCGCCTTCCATATTTTCATTTGATGCTTCTCACGCTAAACAGCTAGCAAGCAATATTATTCCTCCCACTAGATAATTAAGAAAAACATCATGTGCGTTGACCCTTTTTGATATTATTCCTTTGGAAACAAAACTGAAACCCTTAGAAACATCATTTGGAAAAAAAAAATACTGTCAAAGGGTTTAAAGGGCACTAAAGTGAATTTTAAATTAATATCTTTACGGTGCAAACTAAATCTATGCACCCTAACAATCCTTAGAAAACCCAAAATTACAATCACGTGCGGCACTTTTCAGCATTAAAACGAGACCAAACACCGCAACACACTCCCTTTTCTGAGATATCTCAGAAAAAAGGACATGTTGCAGTGTTTGGTTGCCTTTTGAAGAGAAAAAAAGAATATGTGTGATTGTAATTTTGGGTTTTCTATTATACTTAGGGCAGTTAGATGGAGTTTGTGCCATAAAAATACGACCTCAAAATCCCACTATCCCACTTTAGTGCCCTTTTAACGGAAACAACAGTCGAAAAAGTAGGCAACAAGGTACAGTGGAAGGGCTAAGAGAAAAACTTATTTGAGTAGTTCAGGAAATTGAATGCTTAAGATAATAGCCACAGTAACTTCACTAATATTTCGTGGTTACCTTGTCTGTTGAACTGCTGAAGTGGTTTTTAGAGGCTGTTGGCTTCAATGTGCAATACGTGCTGCGCAACTTCAAGCTCCGAACCAAACCCACTTTGCGGCCATTGAGAAATGAGCCAAATAGAACGAGGAATGCAGTGATCTGATTGGCTGGAGTCATTTTGGAGCATCTCTGGAGCAGCCAAAAGTCCATATTGGAGCAGAAAAAAGACATTTGAAGCATAAGCACAGACTCCATTTTTCTCCACACCACTGCAAATTTTATGTCAAGATTCGTGTGTTGGCCCGTCAAACTGAAAGACAGTGTCTACTTTGCCTTCCCACTTTTGTGAAACCTTTCGTTAGCATCAGTTGCACAGTGCTCAGTTGCATAGAGGCAAAAACACTGCAACAAGATGCTGACGGATGAATGACAGTATCAACTGCAGTGTGTAGTTATTTTCGGTACAGAACAAAGGATAAAGCAAATAGTGTATTCCACTGAAGTAATGTTAAAATATAATAATTTAGTATACCCATATTGATGTTTTGTTCAAGTAACCACAGGATGAGCTGCGATTTAATATAACCACGGGGGTCACATTTCCCGTTCAATTTGTTGGCTAGATTATTGGAAATGGTTGCTCCCGCTTGCGCACATAATTATGGTCACAATACATTAATACAAGTTTTTCTAATACAGTTTTGCAGTGCTGTCCATACAAATAAGTGTGATTTGTACAAAGATACAACTTATATAGCGGCATTAAAAAAAACTGACATTCATAGGGAGGTGCAACTTCGACAGAAAGCTATGGTATAGGCGCTTTGCGCACACACGCCAGATTACAGACACCATTGTTGACTTTCGCATGTCTTACCCAGACGCCCATCCACTAAAGCGGGCGTTGATGAGCCTCCACAAAGGGCAATGCTCAGGAGAGGGACACAGGAGAATCTAAAATGGCAATAACCTCCTCTGCATTGGTAATGATGAAGTGAAGTAAACGTAATAAGAGAAAACAAAGGATAAAGGTCGGTTATGGCAGCGCCCATGCACAGGTGCTGCAAAGCATTTATACTTTGAATGCCAACCAGAGGAAGGAAATGGGAGGGGGGTAGAGGGGGGGGGGGGGGGGGGGGGCATTAAGAGGAAATGCGCATGCTGTTTAACCTTCTGATGATGAGTAATTCCCAGCATAAAACTGTGATCGTAACAATCACACTTCACCTGTGTGTTCAAACCACAACCATCTTGTAAAATAATTTCTTGCATAGTCTGCACCTGTAGACGATCTGCACAGCACAGAATAGCAACCTTTAGACATGTAGTCTCCAGACTATAGTCCAGAAAACACAGTGAGTTAGCAAAATGATAAGAAACACATTACAGTTAAAGCCCCTCCCAAAAAATAATGCAACTACATCTTCGCCTTCCTGTGTCATTATGAGAAAGGGCACTGTTCTGTGAACCCATGCACGAGCACATCGGCGACTACAGCATGATCCGCAAACCAAAGCAAAGAGCGGGCATTATTTCTGCGTCAAACTCTGCAGATCTGGAGTGGACCTTTGGAATGATTCGGAAGGATCATAGCAACAAAGTAGCACGTCGAGTCGAGCGAGGTGTTTTGAGCGGCACTCGCGCTCCAAGAACAACAGAACATCACTGGAAGATAGACAGAGGTCGGTGAACGTCGTCCTACGTCTCTTTGCCTTCCAGCAATGCTTTTGGCTGATCTGTCAGTAGCCGCTTTTTCCTTTCATCTTTATCCTACAGCTTCCCTCACTTGATGGCGAATACACCCACAAAAAAATTGGGTTGTGTGTGTGTTTATACAGCCTAGAACTTGGTCTGCCTCACAGGGGCGACGAGTCTCCCAGCTGTAGATGAGAAATTTAGCCAGTGCGGTACAGCCGCTAGCCTGGGGTCTTTAACGTGCATCACGCAGTAGTGATACACGACCGCACGCCGGTACGATGCTCATCCAGATCGAAACGGGCAGGGGTGGGGCTCGAACCCAGGATATCTGGGTTCTGCAGCGCGAGCTTTCGCTTCACGTGCTCCGAGCTGGTGTGCGCTAGACCACTCGGCCACCGATCCCCCCAATACACCCACAACTTTGCTGAACAAGCGTCTGACAGCTGCACTTGGTGAAATGACTTGTCACACAAACACATGCTTGATCACTGGGAAAGTTTTGAGGCAACGACTCTTTTTTGGATCAGGTAGAGAAAGGGAAACTGAAGGAAAGAAGCGTGGTCATCTTCATCAGTGGACCTAGTTGTCAGCAATAACCACATTGTGTGTTCATTTAGACGGTGAAAAGTTAGCACCAATGGGCGCCTGCTGTTTCTGCTACAGATGAGAAATTTAGCCAGTGTAGTACCATAACCAGCCTGGCATTTTAATGAGCATCATGGAGTAGCAATGCATGACTGCACATCGGTACAATCCCCATTTAGATAAAAAAAAAAGCAGAGATGGGGATTGAATCTGGGATCCCTTGATTCTGCAGCGCGAGCCTTTGCTCAGTGTGCTCACAGCTGTGGTGAGTTAATGCGCTCATCCACCGAACCCCCTATCTTGTTGATAGTGTTTCGTCTGCCCTGTCAGTCGTGTTTTTTCCTTGATGCTGACTGTCCAGTATCTTTAATGCATACTCTTGTTGGGCATTGGATCACATGTGTCAACTGAATCCTTGGCTCACCTGGCCAGAATACACTCTAACAATGCGGTGACACACGTTTCAGAAAGGATGTCCACTTGTACAGTTTATTGCAATCATAATTCCTAAAAAAAAAAAAAAAAAAAAAAAGTAGGGAAAGTAACTGAAGCGTCGTTGCTTTCCTCGTTAATGCACCATTATGTATGATAAAGGCTTAAATACAGAGGTTAGAAAGAGAAACCTGGGACATAACAAAAGACACATTGTACCTAGCATATTGACTACGTAACTAGGGCAAAAAATAAAACACACCGATGTTCCTCCCTCTAATAAATGATCAGATGACTTTGTTGGGTTATTCTCCATAAAAAAAAAAAACTGATAAAAAAAAAGTGAGGAAAACAATATAATATGAATTTGTATGAACCTTCTGTCTTCTGCATTCAATCTTTAAATGCTTTGTATTGAATTCTTTTGCATTATTCAGCAGGTGTTCAACCATCAAGTGCTTGTGTTAGATATGTTATGGTTATGCAGTGTGGTGAAAGCACCTGGATAGTGTTAAAATTTTAATTAATGGTCCTTGCCTTTGTGGGCCAAGATTCTTTATAAACTGTTATGAATAAAATTATTATTATTGTTAATACTATTAGCTAGTTCTCTTTACTGAATCCTTCCTATAGAGAGATTCAGTTTAGAGAAAATATCAATGAGCCTCCTTTTAGTGGATATGTTTTTTTTCTAGAAACATGGTTCACCAAATTTGCCTACTCACTCTAACAATATCTAAAATGGTGCCAATCTTAAAGGATGGGGACTCCACTGTGGTCGTCTAGTCATAGGCAAAAATAAATTTTAAAAGGATACTGACACCCGTGAAAATGTTTTTTCGTTTTTTGCCAGGCGATTCATTATGGTGTCGAAAGACTACCCAATTAATATTTTGCTATAGAGTCACATATATTTTTAATAAAGCCAAGAAACGCAACTGCTTGTAATAACTACACCCAACCGTACGCTTTAATTTTTTTTTTGCACGCAGCAGACGAAATGTGTTGCAGGAATTGTTTGGCATGGTGATTCCTTTGCAGTTATATTTGTTCCGCTTGCTGTTCTGTACTTCAAGATGAGTTTGTTTGTACATTTAAATGTCAGAAATTAGTAATGAGTGCCCGTGGTGAATTCACTGATGGCGTGAAGAGCTGCCTCACATGTCCTGCAACTGAAAGTGGCACTGTGCGGCAGAGTCTGCACACGTTTCCGAAAGATCGACGGGATCGGGACCAATGGCTGCAATTCCTGTAGAACAGTTACGGGCACCTCAAAAAGCAGATGCTACCCGATTCATACACTCCTTGCATTTTGTGGAAAGTGACTAGTACATTGAGTTTGCAGGTGTCAAAAAGGGAATTCCATACCATTTAGTTCAGCAACGTATCATCCACAACAATTGTTTTTTTTTTTTTCAGTGACAATTGTAAAAAAAGGAATGTAAACATCGCAAAATGTTTGACGCAAAAAAAAATAGTCATCTACACTAGGAATTGAACCCGCGCCCGCTGCGTGTGAAGCGGACGTCTTCCCACTGAGCTACTGGGAGAACTCTTTTGTCCTTAGTAATGCAGGCGGTCGCTTGTAGGTCGGAAAGTTTGCTGCCGATTTCCCTTTAGGACATGCACTCCCGGCTCGAAGTTGGTGAGCACCACGCATTGGCCACATTCGCACCTAGTAAAGAAATCGTAAGCGTGCATATTCCCCTCGAAGTACGAACTTTGTGCTTGACGTTTGCGCGAGCGATGTCTTCAGCCACGAGAAGGTAACGATGGCTCGGCGAAGTCTTCGTGCAAATTGGCTTGGTGGCCGGGCGTGTCGTACAGGATGAATACCAATTCTTTTGATTGGCTCAAAATTTATCTTTCAAATGAAGACAGAACTTGCTGGTGCCGCGAACGACAGTTCTGTAATGGACGTTCCATGCCCGTCGTCCGCTGCCATCACCGTACCCTCAAGTCCGACGATACGCGAAACGACGCCATGTTGAGAATTGTGCAGAGAACGCAAAGAATGTTTCCGGTTCTCTGTGCAACTTTGTTTTCAATCAACCTATTTGCAGCTTTTTAGAGGCCACAAAAAATAGGTTTCATATTTCTTTTCTATTTTCAATATTCAGTGTGTGCCTTCAATGACCAACAATTTTGATTAAATTTGGTGGTTGTGTCTAAACCTTAGAAAACAGCCCGTGACCACAAAAAGAGAGTGGAGTGAGTGCGACTCAAACCGGCCACTTCTTAACCGGCGATTTTCGGGAGGACAGAACCCGAATTTCAATTGCGAATTCTGTTATGGGTACTTGGGCTCTCGTATGTCACATACAACTAAAAACCTCGGCGAGCATAAATACCCTGTCAGTGTCCCTTTAAGTGTAATTAACCCAGTCTCCGTGAAGATACTTTGCAATTGCATAGTACGGGAATTTATAACCAAGTGTGGAATTTTTTGCCCTAAACAAGGCAGATTCAGATTAAAAAGATCCATTTTCTCCTCAGTTGTAGATTTAATTGAGTCTCTCAGTCAAGCTCTAGTTGACAACAAGATTGCTACGGTCATTCATTTAGATATAAGTAAAGCCTTTGATTGAGTTAACCATGCTATTTTATTGAATAAGGTAGAGGATTACCGCTTTCAAAAAAAAAAAAAATATAGGAACTTTTCAGTAACTACTTTTCAGACAGAAAACAATACATACTTTGTTTCTGCTAGTGTCCAGATTCAGCCAATCAGCCAACCAAAGAGCCTCAAAAGTGCACGCCACTAAGCCTTTTCTATTTATGATTGGTACAGCGATGACAGAAACATGACAAACACTATGATGGTGCACTTTTGATGCCATCTCACTGGTCCCATCAGCTCGTAGCATCGGCTGCGTCTCGACTTAACATGAAACGAAGTATAGTTGGTTCCTTTGCAATCCAATGGGTGTTGGGAATGCCTGCAAGCGGGGATACTATTCAACCATAGGGTGGTCACTCGAATGCAAATTGGAAAGCAACCCATCCACTTCTACCCATCGCAATGCCATTGTCAGATGCAAGAAAATCGATGCTTTTATAATGAACCTGCAAGGTCCGGAGCTACAGGGGTTGTGAGCACGGTTTCCACAGCTACTTCTGCAAAGAGCGGTTGGCAAACACTCCAGAAACAAAACACTTCGCCTTAAGCAGTGCCAATGTGTCGAATCCAATCCAGTTACTTCTGCAATTGACGAACAACCCAGAAACGAAAACACATCGCCCAAGCGTTGCCAATCCACCGAGCGAGTTCCCCCAGACGCTTTCGTTGTCCTCTGAGTAGGAGGTTTTGGCGCGTTGCCACTGTGAAAGCTGCTTGGAGACGACTTGAGGAAAGCTGCCCACTGAGGGGAATTCTCCGTCCATTTTCCCCCGCGGTCGCTGAAGACCGTTATCAGCGGCCCAAACCCCCCGTACACGCCTCAAGCGCCGTGACGAGATAGGCTACATCGACACGGACGGCGCCGAAAGCAAACGAAGCGCGTCAGCTTTCATTGAGGCAGCCAGCGCCCATTCAAGAAGTCGAGGTCGTATAACGAGGCTTAGCGAGAGTACGGAACGGAAACCGCCACCGCACGTAGCGGACGTGGATTGAGTTGAATCACGAGCTGCACGTGCTCGCAGCACGGTGGGCTAGGGTGGGAACCCGATGGGCGCAGACAACACCACAGGAGAAGCAAAAACAACAGGTATTACTAAAATAAAAATAAATAAAAAGAAAATAAGAGTGATGACATACATTTCGGCTTAACTTCCGGCCAACAAAAGTGACCGCACGTTCGGCCGATTATTTTTCTTCTTTTACAAGAACAATCCAAGTAATGAAAAGGGGCTAACGAAGAACACCTCGGTGATAATATGAACGCAAATAGCCGTGGAAGGGCGCAATGTAGCACAGGTAATAGTTCAAGGTTTTTTTGTTTCTTTTGAGTCGCCTAACTCGCAGATGGCGGAGTGACCCCCGGAGGGCTCAGCCGTCCGTCAGCTTACCTTTGGAACGGTAGCGACCTGGGGACAGTGACCAACATCGGGGATTATCAGGCGCTGAAACACACGGCGACGGCACACAGGGCAAAGCTTGGTCGGACGCACGGGGGTATGACACGCACGGACAGGAAAAATCTGTTTCCGCAAGAAAAGAGCACCAAAACCAAAACAATCCGAGTACAGAGTTTGCAGACAGCGGTACGCGCGAAGCATCTTGAGTCCCCAAATTTGGAGGAGTTGCTTTAAAGTAACACAAATGAAACCGAATCATATCCAATAACCTGTAATTATTCTATAAAAATGCGTAATTGATTAAAATATTATTAGTTTATGGCTACAGCAGATGAAAGGCTTCTCATAATACGGATTGGTATGGTTTCGGTTTTCTGTTTTTCCACCCAGTGAGTTCTATCAGTGGTTCTATCACAGGACGACTGCAAGTTGTAATTGCAATTGTAATTTATCTTGATAGGATATTGTGTGTACATGACAACCGGCTCTGATGACAGCCAGTGATGGCAGCGTGCGTGGTTAAGCACAAGAGTTACAACTTACGCATGTGCGCCTGCTAGCCGGCCTCCAAATATTTAGAAAACACACAAACAAGACAAGAAAGTGGTCACACTCGTAGTAGTCATTTGTAACAATTCAAGGTTATTTTTTTTAATTTATTTTCGTACAAACAAGAGTAAACATCGTAAACAAATAACAACGTTGATCAACGAGGTCACTGATCTCAATGACAATTGCTGGATCGCGCTTCCCCGCTTGTTCGCTGCAGCGCAAGTGAAGCCACCGGACCTCACTCGCTTGGGATACGATTTGCCGTTTTTGCTAGCCTTTGCTGCGGTTTTCCAGCGTGCTGTAGACACGTTTTCTACTCGCTCGTCGTCGTTCGCCGAAGAAGTTTTTTGAGACTCTGTGTATTGTTGAGACTTGCCGTTGTGAACAAGTGGAAAATTTTACGAAAGCGCAGTGTCGCAGGAAAAAGGCACAACTCGTCGAAAGGAAGGGCTGGCGGAAAGCAGGGTCTGGCGGCGTGTTCAAAGCTTCCTTGGCACGCCGAAGCGTGCGCCGAAGTGCCGTGTCTCTGTGCCTTCGCGCGCTTGGATACCGACGAAGAATCGACGCCGTGTGGATATGTTTTGCGAGTGCAATGTGCGCGGAGCCGTATGTGAAGGCACAACTCGTCGTTTGCAGGTGTCGCCGGTCTCGCGGACTGATCAAGGTTTCCTTGGCACTCCGAAGTGCTACGTCTCTGTGCCTTCGCACGCTTGGATACCGATCAAGATTCGTTTCGGCGCCGTGTGGATGTGTTTTGCGAGGGCTATGTGCTTGAAGCCTTATGTAAAGGCACAACTCGTCGAAAGCAAGTGTCGCCGGTCTCGCGGCCTCAACAAGGCTTCCTCGGCACGCCGAAGGTCTGCGTCTCTGTGCCTTGGCACGCTTGGATACCTATCAAGATTCGTTTCGGCGCCGTGTGGATGTGTTTTGCGAGTGCTATGTGCTTGAAGCCTTATGTAAAGGCACAACTCATCGAAAGTAAGTGTCGCCGCGGTCTCGCGGCGTCAATAAAGCTTCCTTGGCACGCCGAAGGTTTGCGTTTCTGTGCCTTCGCACGCTTGGATACCTATCAAGAATCGACTGTGCGGCAAAGTTTTGAAGGTGTATCGCGCGCAGATGTTCTCGATCGTCCCGCTGTTCCGGCGTGTGCGTCTGTTGACCAATCACAATTAGGCGAGCCGCGCTCAAACTTGATGTCACGTGGAATTGAGGATAATGAGCCAGATTACTGATCAGTCATGAGGAGCTGTTGTGCGGTGTTCTGTGAAACGTCTAAGGACGACAAAAGGACGTACCATCGGTAAGTATCACATATTGCTTTGAGAAGAACGTCTCACTGGAGTGCGACCTGTAACAATACTTGTTTCGGTTCAAGGTTTCCACAAAGTCGGCCAGAAATTTGTAAAGAATGGGTGCGCAACATCCGAAGGCAAAATTGGCAGCCATCCAAAGAAAGTCGTATTTGCTCGGACCACTTTGAAGAGGCGTGCTTCAAGAAAACAAGTCAAACTGTACGCTTAAGAGAAGATGCCATCCCAACTCTCTTCAAGTTTCCTAAACACCTTGTCAAGGTAATGGGCTGGACCTTACTTTTTTTAAGCGCAGTCTATATACTCTACTTTTTTTTTTCGGTCTATTTCATAAATTTACCAAGCATTAACAATGCTTGAGCTGTTTTTGCTTAGTTTCTGCACATTATAAAATAGTTGGTATACAAGTTTTTGGTAACTATTTGGCACTATTCAATTCGAGCTGAAATTTTATATTTTGCACACCCTTGTTTAGTAATCAGATATTGTTATGTCTTTCTGAACCCTGGCTACTTGACAGACAGAGGGCAGGCAAGCTGGTTAGTGGCAGAATTGTGAACCCTGAATTGTGCTATTTTTTCGGTATTCCTCCCATCTCATTGAATGTTTACTTAAACCGCAAATGATTCAGAAAGTACATGTCCAAAGCATCTTGAGCTCCCAATAAGGCTTGATTGGTTGTGAGACATGGAATACTCGCCCACTATTCACTATCCAAATTGAAGACAAAATTCTCAAAACCGATAGGCAGAAAGACACAATGTGTTTTTGTAGATGTTACGTTGCTGGCCTCGGCCTGTAACTTTGCCAGAAACAGTAAAAGAAACCTAGAATTTGTTTTCTTCCTCAGTGTAGGGACACATGTGTGTCTATATGTTTATTTCTTCCTCAGTGTAGGGACACATGTGTGTCTATGTTCATTTTTGGCATTCTCTCAGCAACCCAAGACAAGAAGGCCTCCAAGAGACCGTGGCAGCAGCGCTGGCACTACTAATCCTACAAGTGACACCCTTGATGCACAGCCATCCACGTCAGCAACACTGGACCACACATACACCCTACAAAGCCCTCGGACCCAGAAGCGTAAAATGAACAATGCGGTGAGCCACATAGAAGCAGTGAGAAAGAAGCTGAAATACACACAGCAGGCTACAAGGCGGCTAAAAGGAAAGGTTTCTAACATGCAAGATATCCTCAAGGACCTCAAGCAAAAGCAACTCATTAGCAGTGATGCTGCCTCTGTTCTTAGTAAGTCACTTTCTGGCACGCCGCTGGAAGTCTGTCTTCGAGCAATGAAAAACACGAAAGGAAACATAACGAGAGAGCAATATCCACCAGAGTTAAGGGCTTTTGCTCTAACACTTCAGTTCTATTCGACTAAAGCTTATGAATACGTAAGAAGCACATTCAACTTAGCACTGCCCCATGTGTCGTCACTGCGGGCATGGTACCGCTCGATTGACGGCGAGCCTGGGTTCACCTCCGAGGCATTTCACTCCCTGCAACTTACTGTTGAAGCAAATGCGAAGCAGGGGAAAAAAGTCCTCTGTGCCTTGCTCATGGACGAAATGAGCGTTTGAAAGCACGCCGAGCGGGATGGGAAGAGGTTCAGAGGACTTATCGATCTTGGAACTGCAGTGGACGATGACAGTCAACCGCTTGGCACCGAAGCGTTAGTCTTCATGCTCGTAGCTCTCAACGACCACTGGAAGCTGCCCTGTGGGTACTTCTTGATCCACGGCATGAGTGGTGCAGAGAAGGCCAACCTGGTGAACATGTGTCTAATGAAGGTACACGACGTTGGTGTTGTTGTCTGTTCCATAACATGCGACGGGCTCCAATCGAACTGGACCATGATTGAAGCGCTTGGGGTTGACCTCACTGTCTTACCCCAAGGAATGAAGCCCTGGTTCCCTCATCCAGCCAACTCTAACCAGAGAGTTTTCATTTTATTTGACATTTGCCACATGCTCAAGTTATTGCGCAATGCTCTCTCGTCTCTGCAGGTGATCAAGGATCCCGACGGATGTTCCGTCAGGTGGCTCTACATTCAGGAGCTAAACAAGCTTCAAGAAAAAGAAGGTCTCAGGGCAGGCAACAAACTGCGACCGGCACATGTGGAGTGGAGGCGTCAAAAGATGAAAGTGAACCTAGCAGCTCAAGCGATCAGCTCAAGCGTCGCCGATGCTTTGGAATTTTGCAACATTGACCTTAAGGACAGGACCTTTGCCGACAGCGAGGCCACAGTGAAGCTCATCAGGATCTTCGACAAGCTGTTCGACATGATGAACTCAAGGAACCCTGTAGCCAAGAACTTCAAAGCACCCTTAAGAATGAGCACACATCACCTATGGAAGCCCTTCTTTGAAGAAGCAGCCAGCTACATTCTCGGCTTGAAGGACGTCACTGGCATGCCACTCTACCTAACTAGAAGGAAGACTGCTTTTCTGGGATTTTTTATGGCCATAAAGAGCTTTGAGGGCCTCTGCGAAGACCTGTTGGGTGGTCAAGAACCTCTGATGAGGTACCTGCTCACCTACAAGTGCAGCCAGGATCATCTTGAGCTCTTCTTTGGCGCCATCAGAAGCAGGGGTGGCTGGAATAACAATCCGACGGCTCTGCAGTTTATGGCTGCTTACAAGAGGCTCCTTGTGCGTCACGAGGTGCAACAGACCAAAGGGAACTGTTCAATGCAAGACCAGACTAGCATCCTGCACGTGACCAGGAGGGCCAACCACCATGAAGACGTGGCCCACGATGCTCCATTGGATGACCATGCAGCAGCCCGCCGCTTTGGCATGATCGCCTCCCCCAGAGCAGAGGACCATGACTATGCGGATGTTCCAAACACCACAACTCTGTCCCTGTACGTGGAGAATGTGGTAGATTACATCGCCGGTTATGTGGTCCGCATGCTGCAAAGGAAGATAACCTGCCCAGACTGCATGGCAGCCTTGCAAGAGCAAGAAGGAAGTGGTGGCCTGCTTCTTAGGCGAAAGAACCGGGGCGGGCTACTTGTTCCCTCGTCAAGTGTGGTGGTTATATGCAAAAGTACTGAAAAATGCCTTAGGAGGCTCGAGGCCAGTAACAGCACTTGCAGAAAGCTAATCCAGCGACCGAACCTACAAGCTGCCATTGTGTGCGCTACTCTGCATGACCTCGCCGAGGACCAGGCTGAACTCTTCCGAGGCATACATGAACACATGTTCGATACTGAACCCCAGAATAACCATGTCGTTGAACTAACCAAGCTCACAGCTTCCTGCTACTCGAAGATCAGGCTGCACCACCAGGCACGCCGATTTACAGAACAGAGTGTGGGTCCAAACATAAGGTCCAATAATATGCGTACTGTTATTTTTCTGGGTCAGTGAAAAGTGACTCCGAGTAATGTTTTCTGTGCTTCATTTTTATAACAATAAGCATGCATGAAGTTACTGCGCTGCTTTTATTCGAACTGCTGAATGTCTTATGGCTTGGACACTTTGTTTTGTTTATTAAAATAATTTAATAGTTCCAGTGAACTACTCTATTGTAGCCTCATGCAATTACTTGAGAATTCGATCACTTCGGTCGGTGTTTATTCGTGCCTTTGGCGTATATCACACAAGAAAGCCTCCTTTCAACTCTTAGCAAATCGATCACCACTTCATGAAACCAAGATCGCAAGGGCAAGATCACATTGCCACTTTTAAAACAATGGAGCCACGGGCATCGGAGGTGTTTGGTTGGAAAAATAGGGGAAGGGGGGGGGGGGGGGGGGGGGGGGGGAGGGGAGAGAGAGGTTGCACAGAAATGTAGATGTTGCAGTACTGATTTGATTGCCATAAGCGTCTAGTAAACAAAACACAAAAAACGCCGCTCATGCCGCCCACTTCACCCCCCCCCCCCCCCCCCCTCCCCCTCTTCCGTCGCCACTGGACACTGGATCAAGCTCGGTTTCTGAACTGCGAGTGCCGCAAGTTGCAAATACAGTAGACAGAGTAAAAGTAAAACGCTGCTCCAGAGGTACGTGCGTACGACTTCACGCACATCCCTCTCGCAAAACACATCCACACGGCGCCGAAACGAACCTTGATAGATATCCAAGCGTGCGAAGGCACAGAGACGTAGCACTTCGGAGTGCCAAGGAAGTTTTATTGAGGCCGCGAGACCGGCGACACTTGCTTTCGACGAGTTGTGCCTTTACATAAGGCTTCAAGCACATAGCACTCGCAATACAGATCCACACGGCGCCGAAACGAATCTTGATAGGTATCCAAGCATGCGAAGGCACAGAGACGTAGCACTTCGGAGTGCCAAGGAAGCCTTGATCAGTCCGCGAGACCGGCGACACCTGCAAACGACGAGTTGTGCCTTCACATACGGCTCCGCGCACATTGCACTCGCAAAACATATCCACACGGCGTCGATTCTTCGTCGGTATCCAAGCGCGCGAAGGCACAGAGACACGGCACTTCGGCGCACGCTTCGGCGTGCCAAGGAAGCTTTGAACACGCCGCCAGACCCTGCTTTCCGCCAGCCCTTCCTTTCGACGAGTTGTGCCTTTTTCCTGCGACACTGCGCTTTCGTAAAATTTTCCACTTGTTCACAACGGCAAGTCTCAACAATACACAGAGTCTCAAAAAACTTCTTCGGCGAACGACGACGAGCGAGTAGAAAACGTGTCTACAGCACGCTGGAAAACCGCAGCAAAGGCTAGCAAAAACGGCAAATCGTATCCCAAGCGAGTGAGGTCCGGTGGCTTCACTTGCGGGAGCGGCAAGCGCGATATAGAGATCAGTGAGGTAGACCAGAGCCTCTGAGGTAGACCAGAGCCGAGGTAGACCAGGTAGACCACTGATCTCTATGACAATTGCTGGATCGCGCTTCCCCGCTTGTTCGCTGCAGCGCATGTGAAGCCACCGGGCTTCACTCGCTTGGGATACGATTTGCCGTTTTTGCTAGCCTTTGCTGCGGTTTTCCAGCGTGCTGACGACACGTTTTCTACTCGTTCGTCGTCATTCGCCGAAGAAGTTTTTTGAAGACTCTGTGTATTGTTGAGACTTGCCGTTGTGAACACGTGGAAAAGTTTACGAAAGTGCAGTGTCGCAGGAAAAAGGCACAACGCGTCGAAAGGAAGGGCTGGCGGCGTGTTCAAAGCATCCTTAGCACGCCGAAGTGCCGTGTCTCTGTGCCTTCGCACGCTTGGATACCGACCAAGAACCGACGCCGTGTGTATGTGTTCAGCGAGTGCAATGTGCGTGAAGCTGTTCATGCCTCTGGATCAGCGTCTTTTCCTCTCGCGGTTTAGGAACGAGCTTAATCCAGCGTCCACTAGCGACGGAAGATGGGGAGAAGGTACGTCTTTTTTTCGTCCTTAGACGATTTCCACAATACCGTGCACAACAGCTCCTCATCACTGATCAGTGCTGGCTTATTATCAACCCACTTAATTGCACTTGACGTTTGAGCGCGGCTCGCCTAATTGTAATTGGTCAACAGATTGCACACGGGCTTCAAAGATTTTCATTCTCGTCGTCTTGTACTTTTGCTTTCGAAAACCCCCCTGGCTCCACAACGTTGCCCTATTCGTGCTCCCACGGAATCTATTAGAGTAGATTTGGGACATAGCCATGGTTAATATAGTACATAAGAACACGTACAGATCTCCCCCTTTTATTGATAGCAACTCACCGGAACAGCTGGACGATCCAGAACTCCGTGGCCGATATATATAAATGATCTAAAGGCATCTACGCGCGACACACGTTCAGAACTTTGGCGCGGCGTCAATTCTTGACCGGTATCCAAGCGTGCGAAGGCACAAAGATGCATCACTCGGCGTGCCAAGGAAGCTTTGATCACGCCGCGACACCGGCGACACGTTTTCGACGAGTTGTACCTTTTGACACGGCTTCACGCACATTGCACTCGCTAAACACATTCACACGGCGTCGGTTCTTGGTCGGTATCCAAGCGCGCGAAGGCACAGAGACACGGCACTTCGGCGTGCCAAGGATGCTTTGAACACGCCGCCAGCCCTTCCTTTCGACGCGTTGTGCCTTTTTCCTGCGACACTGCACTTTCGTAAACTTTTCCACGTGTTCACAACGGCAAGTCTCAACAATACACAGAGTCTTCAAAAAACTTCTTCGGCGAATGACGACGAACGAGTAGAAAACGTGTCGTCAGCACGCTGGAAAACCGCAGCAAAGGCTAGCGAAAACGGCAAATCGTATCCCAAGCGAGTGAGGCCCGGTGGCTTCACTTGCGGGAGCGGCAAGCGCGATCCAGAGGTAGACGCAGACGTTGATAAATAAATAAATGGATACATGGTGACTTTATTTCGAGTCAATCATGGGTTGGTCGATGGCTTGCGCCACCTAGCGTCACTTAGCCACGTAGTATCCTTGGTGCATTGCGCATGCTTTGCTCTACGATAAATGATGTGCACGCCAATTTAATCCGATTTAATCACTTTAACTAATCTCAGTGCACTGATTTTTCCCGAGTATGAAAGCGAAAAAGAGCTCGCTCAAGCACGAGAACAAACACGGAAATCCCAGAATTCTTCGCGGCTGTGACGTCACTGAGTCGATCCTCGCTTGTCTTTTTTCTCTTTTTGCGAAAAAGCTTGGCCTAGCCGTGACCAACCGACCGAGTTCACGGAGTGTCGGACCTTCACACGGACGTTGTGGACTAAAGACAAGCCCCTGATCAACCACGCTTTCATCGTCGACGGACTCAGATCATGGCGGACGACGAGAACGTAAGCACCCCGAGAAAAAAAACATCTCCGTTCCCACGCGTTGCACCGCTGCCCGCTCAACGTTCATGGCCGGCAACTCCATGCAACCACCATCTGTGCACGCTACTCTGTTTCGAGAAGCATTTTATCCCGTACGGGTTTTCAAGGAGTCCCTCACTTGCGGAGTCCATGTCTTTTCGATCGCCGGCTCGCTAACGTGGGGCCCAAAGGGGTCTTGACGGAACCTCGCCGTATGGGGCCAGTCTTCGGCCACTCGGCCGTTTGACCAGTGGCTGATGCAATTTTCGGCAAGGAATTACACCGGCTGCACTTAAGGTCGCATTGCCAAGCTCTAACAATCGCTCGAAGTGGGTTTCCACTCGGATCCCGAAGGCGAGCTACTGGCACGAATGCTTGCTCTTGACCAGTCTATGCTGGCGGAGAGAAATGACAACTAAAAACCCTCGAATCTTCCTGGCGGTGCCGGTATTGTCCAGCGGATGTTACGCTTAGATCAGTATCTCTATACACCAACACGCGGCTTTGACGTCACATCTCTGCGGTGGCGCTGTTGTCGCCACTGCGCATGCGCAGAAGCTTCACCTCTCGCGAATCTGGTTCATGCGCTTGCGCAGTGCCCACACCTGGTGTGGGCAAACGCGGGCTTGTTTGTAAACAGTGTGTTGGTCTATACTACCGGAAACCCCATCGGTCGAGAAAATATCATTTCGCCGATTGACATAATATACACCGGAACAACCTGCTGTGGCATTCAAGAGTGCGCGTGCACAGCTTTGATCGGCGCTCACTGTGAGCTCACGCACGGGCTCCGATTGCATTTTCCTCATTGCCGCTGAAAGTTGTTACAGAGTCTAGCTTCCTAGAGACCCCTCGTGAAAACAATGGTCTAATGACAGTCTCAAACATTCTGTAACAAATGTGATCTTCAATACGGGGAGGGTGCTCACATTCTAGAGTGGTAGGGAAATTGTTTTATCGAGGTGAATTTAGAAAAGGGCTCAAAGAGGAACTTCCAAAAGTATGAGGGAAGTGAAATCTTTGCGTTCTTGTGCTCGGAAGGTCGTGAACACAGCCGCTGTTACGTCGCGTTGAAGTCGGGTAATTATTGCCAGATTAAGCGCAACGCTGCCTGTATTTCCACCCTGACTGCACGTGCAGCCAAAGCTCTTGGCCTCAACGCTGCCAGCTCTCTAGAGATCCCCAGTTGGCAATTTAGAATCGCGGCCGAGGCTCCCACAATTTAACGTAGGCTTTTGCGGAGGAGGCATTGTGCAACCGAGCTTTTGGTTGCACGTGAAAAGATCCCCAGGTGGTCAGAGTTAATCCTCAGTGTCCCGCCAAGGTGACAGTTTCGTGGGATTCTGAGACTTAGTCGGTAACGCACCACACTCGTTGAGCCAGCTTCGTTGCTTTAGTACATGGTAAGCTTCCTCTCAGAAATCACAGCTGTGCTAGCACCTCTGCAAACCGACCGTCTACAAATACTACTCTTCAGTCGCACACCTGCGGTTGGTTTGTGCATTCACATTTGAGTGCGATAGATTGCATCGCAAATGTCTGCGAACACTGACGAGAGAATGTACTGCCGCCACCTATTGTGTAGCCCTGAAAACACTTCCCATCCGAAATGGTGATGTGCGCGACCAAAAGCATTGCTGTGGTCTGCCTTCCACGATTAGTCAAACGCTCACCATGATGTCTCGTGTACGACAAATTCTGTTTTTATTGATGGAGGTAAGAGCAATGCAAAGCTGTCAACCTTGATGGTGTTGCTTTAAGGAGATGACGACTCCAAGCTTCCTGCTGATGTTTTACACGCGCCGTCAAAATTGTTTTTGGCAATCATAATCGCGGTCGTGACGTCCCAGGTAAGAACTGTAAGAGGAAGCCGCCGAAACGTCTCGTCACCAATAGTGCATTTTACGCACGATTCTCCCGCCATGAGTTTGGAACTTATCCTGGTCATGTTAGAAGCGACCATTTCTCACAATAGTGCATAGATTTGATCTTGCAGATAGAGAAAATCTTTCAGACCAGTTAAATGCAGATCAGCAGAGTTCCAGAGCTACCTTACAGTGTGTTCTCTCGTTATAAGCAGTTATGAGTGGTTTCAATGTAGTCGGTCACACTCCAGGGGTCCAATTTCGGTCACGAGAGCATGATGTAATTTGCCTCATGAAGCGAGCAAAGATAGCGTTCGTAGATGGTGCGTCTGCTAATGCGAGTGAAGGATGTGGTTTGTCCGATTCGTCGTAATTAATCGAACGTATCATTTGGAGCCTCGCCGACTACACTGTTTGTAGACCAGCCTTTGTGCTAAAACGAATGCAATCTTAAATAACTAATAAATCTGGACCTCCTTTGTGAATTTTTAGTTTGCATAGGTTTTCATGCCCTTCGTGAAGTGAGATATGAATATTTTCAACTTATTGGGCACTTAAGTGTTTCATCAACCATATGCTTCTAAACTAGTTTCTTTTTGCAACTAAGCTGAAAGAAGATATTAGTATGTAACAAAGCAAAAGGTAACTGACCAGACACGGCGCTGTGTCCTGTCGGTTACCTTTTACTTTGTCCTCGTCTTTGCGCTGTTTTGTTTTTAATTATGTCTGCATACAAACTAGCCCAAACTTCTATGTTAATTGTCATAGATTGTGGCCCTCTGCCAGGTTGCCGGCCTTGTGACTTTAGCTTCTAACTTCTAGTCTCTCATGTCCACGTGTTGGACATAAGTGATTGTATCAGTTTTCAAAGAGGAATTTTGTTTTGTTTGTTTTGGTCATCCAGCCGATTTTTTTGGGATAACTACTGACACATCAGAGGGGCTTTGTTGTTCTCCATGTCATTGTGACAGCTACTGACGCATCAAAAAGGGGATTGTCCTGTCTTGTATGAAGCCATTGCTAAATTATCCAATTGTCACGAAGCATACTGCAAGTGTTACGCTGTGCACATGCTGACATCTGCAGCAATAACTGGTCTGAAGCCAAAACCTAAAACAAATGGCACTTTGCACAAACGTTTGCAAACATATTATTTTAGTTATTTACTTAGAAGCTTTGATGCTGATAGGCCTTGGTTCTTGGATAATTTGACAAAAGTTCTATTGTAACAAAATGCTGATGAAGTGGCAGCTATATTTCGTGTGGGTCTGCTGATAATTTTAACTTCGGATTTTTAAAAAACTTTCCACGCCTGTGCAACTTAAATTTCTCGCACAACGGTAAGTGCATTGGGTTTGGGCGAATTGATTGGCCACAGCACTTAAAAAACGAACACAACTATAGTAAGTTACAGGTTAAAGGGATACTGAACCGAAATTTCGAGCTCACAAAGCAAGGCTCGACGGATAGGCGGGACGGTGTACCACCCAAAAACATCACTCATACAGCGATATCTCGAACGGATCGCCGTATTTTGGAAAATAAGTGCGCGATTGAATACGGCCAACGAGGCATGCGACGTCACGATTCCCCATTCCCTCTCCTCCTCGCTACGTCCCGTCGGGCTGGTGAACCGAAGCGAGGAGGAGAGAAGCGAGGCCGCTTCCCCTCGTTCTCAAATTCTTTCGGAGGACAGTTACGTCAAAGAACTCGCTCGATCGCGCTCTTCTTCTCCAAAAGTACGGCCATCCGTTTGAGATATCGCTGTGCGAGCGATGTGTTGGAGTTCGTAGCGTCCCGTTCAACGCTTCTGCCACCTTATTTTACAAAATCCAAATTTCGGTTCAGTATCCCTTTAAAGGGACCATGAAATGACCTTTTTACTTTTTCCAGATAACGTTTACATTAAACCGTCAATGTTCACTGAATGCCGAACAGGCATCCGTTTTCGTCTCGGTTTATTAACTTTTACACAAAAAATTATTGAAATATCGACTTTTTCATTCTCTCCAACTGACCGCAAAAGAAGCCGTGACGTAACCGTTTCCGGAACCGGAAGTTCTCTCGGCAGTAGGAGGATGGGAGTGTTAGCGGCAACGAGTTGGGGTGCGCCGGTAGGTTTTACTGCGCTGATGTCACCGACGTATTTCCTGAATCGGCGCCTCTCATCGCCGCATCGCAGCTGAGCGAAATTCAATGAGATATGTTGCGCTACAGCGACAGCATGGGACTAGTCCCATACGCCGGTATGCCTGTTGGGAAGTGCAGCGAGTCTTGTCAACCACCCCGTCATTGTTGGCAGAAGGGCCGGCCCGTGTCAGTCGTTTGCAAAGCGACGTAGATGGCGTTTTTCGCGGCCTCGGAGATGCAGGAGCGAGCCGACGTTAAAAAAGATACGTTTGAACTACGAGTGTCAGCAAGAGCCACGTAAATACCTGTTTACACTCGGAGCGGACGCGCGCGCTTGATGGAAGTCTTGTATTCGCGCTGTTGGTAAGCGCTTCGGGACCGTTCTTTTACGATTGCAACTCGATACTGACGCGACACTCGGCAAAGAAAGGTTGGACCGGGGTCGACAGTGACGTGCAGTCTGTCAGAATAAAAATGGCATACCAATAACAAAGTGTACATACCGTGTTACGAAGGCAATCCATACGGCGTTTATTTCAGCTCTATATCACACAAAACAAGAAGATAGAATCGACGAGAGTCCCTTTTCGACGAGTGTTCGTCAACACTGCCTCGGAAAACAAGGGGAAGAGATTGACCTCCTCACCTCTTAATCTAGAATTGAGGTCAGTGATCAAACTATAATACGGGAAGGGTCCACAAGGGTCGCGCGGGCATATTCCATTTAGCACGCCAGCCGGTCGTAGGCAGACGGTCTTGCGACGAAGCAACGCAGCGCCGAGTCGGAATGCCTGCTAGGCCTATACGCTTCGTCGGAGTCGGTGAATCCAGCGTTCTTGTTCGTCGTGATCTGTTTTAAGTACTGTTTTCTTGCTGCTTGAAGTCGGCACGCGCGGGAAGAACACGTAGAAAAATAAACGTTCAGTCAGTCAGAGTTTTGAGAGGAAGGAAAACAAAGAAAATAAATGTTCGTCGGTCGCCGTCACCCAAGTAACTGGCGGCCCTGCCCTACTGCGCACGCGCAGTAGTTGCTTCGTTTACCACACGATAGATGGCGCTTGGCTCTCAGCATTATCAAATTTGGCAATTTTCGCCACACATTTCTAATTATGCTACAAAATGTGGATCTGAATATTATTTAACAAAACTTTTAGGAAACATTCGCCGGCTATTTATTGTTTACGATCGCGGTGCTGGTGAGGTAGGCTCTTACCCAATAGGCGACCTGGATTTGGCTGACGTGCTCCATTTCCGCGTATGCATCGTAGTGAACAGGCGAAGGAAGGAAGGCGCAAAAGAGTCCAGTTTTCTTTTAAAAGTTCTATAGCAAATAATTTTTTGGGGCTCCCTATTTTTGTGTTTTTGTGTTTCTTTTCACACCTTTTACGACGTGCGGTGGATGAAACTCGATTTTAAAATCATTTCATGGTCCCTTTAAGAAGGTAGCGGCAAATGCCCCTCAAAGGGAATCAGATATCCCTCCACCACCTTTGCATCCAATAGCGTCCCACCGTTTCCGTGACGTCGCGGGCAACGCGCGAGGAGGGTCTTGCCTTTCTGTACATATTTGCTTTATCTTTCGACTTTGACTTAGCATTGTGGAAGCCACGAGAGGGAGATTAGAGTTCTCCCCACCGACGGAAACAAATACGACTCTCGGGGATTAGCTTCCCCTCCCGATGGATACAAAGGCTGCTTTCAGGGGCTCGGTTCCCTCTCCGATGAATACAAAGGTCGCTTTCTTAAAAAGTGGGATCGGAGACAAGTGGGAATCCATTGAAGCGGAACAAGGAGCTTCCAGTGAACTCTTTTTTCGACTGCAGAGAGATTTGAAACGGGCGCATCACACTTGTGGGAGGAGCTTCTCCTACCTTCTTGACTTGTAACCGACTATAGTGTGCAACAGCCCATTTCAAGGCCACATAAATGTCAGTTCACACATGTAGCATGGCATTGAGATAGCAGTTAGCCAGCATTAAGTTAGCACTGCATTGTGTGTGTCAACTAGAAAAGGCCATGTCCCATGCGGCGGAGGGCTGATAAAGCACTGAATTAGTGCAAAGTCAATGCTGTGTCTATAGTTCTGAGTTGGCGCTGCGCCGTAGGTGTGGACGGGCCCTAATCGTGACAAATGTTATTTTGCATGTGCAGATCTTCGACCCGTCGCTGAAGAAGAAGAAGAAAAAGAAGAAGACCCCCTTTGACCCGAGCGCCCTGGAGGATGCGTCCCAGGACGGACAGGAGAAGGAGGACGCCGAAAAGGAGAACCGCGATGACAGGGATGAGGGTGGGTGACTTCAATTCCATTCTAATTAATTAGTAGTGATGGACCGAATCTGCTGAACTTTAGATTCGGCAAGTTTGGCACATGCCAAACTTTTGAAGGAAAGTTCGGCAAAGATTTAACAAAAATTCGGCAAACGTCTGTGCATGCGCGAGAATGTGACAGGGCCACGGATTGCAAATGGACGCTGTGTGGTCATGCAGTTTGATCTTTCCAGTGATGCAACGAGGAAGTTGAAGCATTGGCTGACAACTATTTTAAAGCACTTCTCGCAATTATAGCAATCCTGTTTTCAGCTCACAAGTATAGTTTGTGCCAAAATAAAATAATATTGCTTTTTAATTAGCGTTATTTCAAGGTTTTCATGTATCTGCATAAAACTAAACACAGAACTATCACGCTGGACGTTGCACATCCGACATTCCTAACTCTCCACATCTTCCTAAACGTCCGTGTGTGTCCTCACATCTGAAGCCGGCATTTTAAAGGTTAAAAACGAGACGTTGCGAAAATGGGACGAACACTTTCGTGCAAAGCTGACGTCAAGTGACCCAAATAAAAAAACATAGATGTTTACAATAATATTGTTTTCCCTTCTGGTGAAGGCTCAGGAACCGTTGCATTCGTTTTTGCGCACGAAACAGTGACTTCCATTGAAAGTAAGAATGCAGCGCTATTGCCTTATTTTAACAACATACATATACTTGCAGGCTTACGCAGATGCGGCCTCAAAACTGAAACTCTCATAGCATAATTCGTGACTGCCTGCTACTACCCAACCTTGTTGTCACGTCATTTCTGCAAGAAGTCACTGTAAAATTGCGATTAAACAGACAAAAACTGCACCGATACAATTATGTTGTAGAATATCACCTTATTTAGTAATAACTGTGTCAATGGGTGTAGCCCGAAACAACCCATTCCGGTTTGAACCCGTCCCATTTCGACCCATTCCCGAATGGACCTTCCCGTTTGAACCCGTCCCGTTTCGACCCATTCTCCAAACGACATTCCCGTTTGAACCCGTCCCGTTTCGTCCCATTCCCGTAACAGCCTTCTCATTTGAACCCGTCCGGTTTCAACCGATACCCGAAGGACCTTTTGCATTTTAACCCACCCTTTTTCAACCCATTTGTATAAGACCCTGCGCATCACAACCTCTTCGCAAAAAGTCAAATTGTTCTAACCTTGGTCTGCTTATTTCTTGGCCTATTCGTGTTCTAGGGAGCATCATCACATCAGACACACCAATCTCTCGTTGAAAAAAAACACGAAAAGGAATTTTAAAACAAATCAAACGATTAGCAAAGAGCACCTGGTGGATGTCGCTTACGCCTCGTTTGTAATGCCCGTCTAGGAACCTTGACAGGTAGTGACGATAACTGTCTCACCTCTGGCCACGACGAGAGAAGAGCTGAAGGAGGAACTCCCCTCTACCCGAGACTCTCTTGTGTGTGACCCAGAAGTCGCTATTCTCCCTGTACAAGATTATAGAAGATTAACCCGTCACTCAAAATTCGTTCAACTACAGCTTCGGGATTACTTGCGGTGGTCCGATCGCTGGAGTGCTTCGGCTGCTTTCAGCGGATGCTACGAGCCATCGGGGCCTATCCAAGGCCATGCGAATGTCCCGCGACTTTGGAGAGGGGGCACAACGACGTGCGGAAAGCGTATCACGGGCTACGTCCGCAGAGCGGGATCGGCTAAGATAACTCGGAGCGTCCGGTGCGTCCGGACGTAAGGTCCCGAGACAAACCACGTGACGATTGCGGCGGATGTGACGTGCTCTCCGCTGGCTGTTCTCCGAGCACTTGCCAGAATGGGCCGTTTATTACGAAAGATAGTTATCGGGCTCAAAATACAAACCTGCGATTGTCATTTACGGATATGGTGGATCATATTCAGCCTATCTGTGAACACGACGGGTATATTTCAAATTTCGTTGAAGTATGTCTTTAAAATATATGTTCTGAAGTATTTTCTCATGCCAATAATGCATTTTAAAAATATGCACTCTTTCAGGCAAGCTTCGAAGTAATATATTATTCTTACTTCAACCACTTAAAGTGTTTTTGTTTTGTAGTTATTTTAAGATAATCCCCATAACGTGCAACCGCGAAACGGTTTATGTACACTCTGCGACATTGTTACTGCAAAGACGACCTTTTAGCTTTTTTAAGATTTTATTTCGAAATGGTATTAGCAGGCACCAAATTTTAGGGCTTAGGATAGGGGCTAAAGGCAAACAGGGAAATCGTGCTATCACGAAGGCGACACTCCAGTTCTCATAGTTTGCGGTCCTTGCTGACCCACTTGTGCCCCCTGGCCCACACCCAACTAATAACAAACGATGGCCGAATCGGGAAGGTTGTTTTGGGATAGGGCGAAATGGGAAAGGATGAAACGAGGAGGTCGTTGTGAGCCGGGTCGAAATGGGAAGGTTGAATTGGGAATGGGTTGAATCGGGAACCACCCGTGTCAATATGCATTACGTTTTATTTAAGTTAAAAAGAAAAACAACGTAAGACCTTTTTTTGCCAGAAAAAACTAAACATCAACGTTAAGTCTGGCAACAATGTATTGTTGCTGAACCTTTAGAAAAGTTTGGCTTTGCCGAATCCCAAGATTCGGCGAAAGTTCGACCCATCATTATTATTTAGTTACTGATCCCCAGGTGGTGGGTTCGAATCCAGGCCCAGGCACCCAGAATCTGACGGAGGCTTATTGCAGAGGAAGCAACCAAACTTTCAGTTGCACGTCGAAAGGTCCCCAGGTGGTCGAAACTAATCTTCAGTGGTGCCCTTCGTTGGTTTGGCACGTAGACACCTCAAGTTTCAATTGAATTAGTTTTATTAGCAGGAAGGCATATACTCGTAACAAGAAAGCAAATGGACCCATAACTGGTTAGAGGGCTGTTCTGTGGGCGATTCGGACAAGAACTCCTCTGGGTTCTGTGTGCTCGACAAGTCGAACCCATCAAGAACGAAATTATCGTGACAAAGACAGTGGTAACGCTGTCTTTGTCACACTTTTCCTTGTAATCTTTCACAGAAGAACCTTGTACGGATTTTGTGCCTCGACGGCACGAACATTTCTGCGTAGCGTTTCTGAAAGGAAGCCCTGCCAAAGCCAGTGCCCGAGCGAGAGCAGAATGTGAAGTTGGCTCTTCTTGCGGTCACGCACCCCAGCTTTGACCGGGCTATTTTGAGACTCCCCTTTTCCTCTAAGGTCAATTAAGGTCAACGAAAAGCGGAGGAAGGGAGGAGGAAAATCGTGACGTTTGCTTAGTAGCAGTCAGACAGACATAGGACTGCCGGACGCCTCAACTTCCACGATTTTTGAAGGAGTCGTATCGCCTCACGATTTCTGAAGTGTCCTGTTCGGAACAGGCCTTTACTCTGTTGCACGACAGCCTGATGTCACGTCATGTCACGTGGCCATGTGATGGTTGTACGCCCGTGTTTTCGCTATGACCGTTCGCGGTACTCTAGACTTGGAAACCAGCCCGTGAAAGCATTCAGCTTTTAAAATGGTGTCCCGCTCGGACGTTACCCAGATGCGGCCTTGGACCTGGACGACTTCTCTGGCCTCAAGAAGAAAAAGAAGAAGAAGAAGCCCTTCAGCCTCGAGGAACTGGACGCAGGAGTGCCGGTACTGTTTCTTGGGCGCCCTTTTTGTTCTAGAAGACCTACCTAGAAGACGAGGAATAGACCTTTTGCCGAATTACCCGACCATCAAAAAGAATGCTGGGAACGTGGGTACACGCTCCGCGCGTGCTGGCGTCTTCAGCTCTAATTGTCTGAAAGCAAAAATCGAAAACAAATGGCACCTTCGCACGCACGTTCCAAGGACGCTTTAGTTTGTGGTTATTTACTTCGAATCTTTTTCAAGAGGAAGGCAAGAATGTGCAGTGCATGTACCTATGTTTTCAGCAATCTCTTTGATGCGTAGGTAATTTAGAGAATGGTCTATTAGTGACAGTAAACATCTTGTTTCAATTAGAAACTTGCTGAGTGTTATGGAAAACCTCTAGTAAATAAGTAAAGTTTAGAAAGATTTGAAGTGAGTGGGAAGTCCGGTGTTGCGCTCAAGTCGCCACTCGTGCAACGGGTGCAAGGCTGGCGGTGCAAGAATGCTGATAATAAGAGGCAGGAAAACTGTGCGAGCATGTTTTTGCACCACTTGTCTTGTGCCTCTTGCACAGGTGGTTATGTTAGTGCACCACCGCACTTCAACATACCTCAAATTTTTCTAAATAACTTACTTTTTTCTGGTTTTCAATGATGCTCAGAAAGTTCGTAATTGGAACAATGTTTTTATCTTAACCAACCAAAAAAGTAATTTAAGAAACATAGTTAATTAACTGGCATATCGCGACGATTATTCCTCTATATTAAGTCTCCCGGGCTGTATAACTAACTCCCCTGCACAGACTGCACTAGTGTAGCTGTTACGGCTTCCCAGGAGGCTGTGCATCTGTTTTGTCTTCAACTCAAACTGTCATCAAGCAAGAAATGTTTACAAAACTGAACACAAGCAAAAAGAAGTGCTCTTTTAAACAGATTGGAGCATTGAGCTTGATTTCTAATGTACACTTTTTTTTGTCAGCTACATAATTTCCTAATGCATCAAAATTGGAATGCAGAAAAAAATTAAATTTATAAAAGTGATGTTTCACTGCAATTAAATCAGAACTCTAAGGAAAAATGAAAGTTTTATAAATAACTAAAAAACTAAGCGGCTTTTGTTGTAGTTGGAGAAACAGAAATAAAACATTGTTAATTAAACTGTAGTTTACATTCCAACTACCGTGTTTTCATGGGGCTATAATCGGCAGGCGCAAGTTTGGGATAAAAAATAAGTGTTTGCATAGATAGTCCACACCCGGTGCATAGTGCCCACTTGGCGCCTAATCTGAACGTAAAAATTATCATGCACAGCACACCTTGACAAATGCCTGCTGTATTAGCTCACGAAGAAGCTTGTATCATATATAAATAAACATTAATATACTCCGTTATCCATAAAATCCTTTACGTCTTGTAGCAATGAACGACCTAGGAAAAAAACAAATCGTTGTATAATCCGCACGTGTAGATAGGCCCGATCGGGTAAGATTTAAACTTTTAAACACGTATAGTTTGCGGACTATAGCCCGGAAGATATGGTAATTGTTTTTTCCACATTGTTATCAGTGATTGAATGAATTGATATATCAATTTGTTATGAGAAATATATCTAGAGGTAAAAAAATCTATTTTCTCGCTACACTAACTTGAATCAAATAAATTAGATTTATTTTATTTTGAAAAGAACACTACTTTTTTCCAGATTGGTTTATTCTTAAAAGCTCAAACAGCGTGATTACACCGACAGAGCAAAAAGGGAGGATGACAGAAAACACTGCTGACTTACAACTAAACTTTATTGACATACTAAAATTTATTGACAGCACTGACATGCTCGATGTCAGTACCAATAAAGTTTATTTGGATGGCAGTGTTGTTGTTTGTCAGTCTTCTTTTACTCTGTCCAAGTCGTTACACTGTTTGTACCTTTAACCCTTTGACAGTCTAGCTTTTTTTCTCACAAGATATTTCCCAGTGTTCAGGTTTTGTTTCTAAAAGAACAGAGTAAAGAAAAGGTCAACAGTCTTTTTCTTAATTATCTAACGGGGCAACAGTGCTTGCAAGCTTTTCAGGTTTAGAAACATCAAATGGAAATAGTGAAGGCAAAAAGGTGTCACCTTTCTTCCATTCAGTGTCATTTTGGTGTGTCCGTGACATTTTGACGATTTCGAATTCCGAACCCGAGTTACTTAACGAAGCTTCTCCATTGGTTAGTGAACTCTCGTCCTCTGAATTAAATTTTAAGGAGCGTTAACAGTCCCAAATCAGAAGAACCGGCACTCCAACTGCCACTACCGTCAGAACAGCCGACACGCGAAGCGTCCATCTCGCACATATCGCGTGCGTGGAGTGTCCCATTTCATAACCACAAATAGCCCCAGCAAAGCAAAACACAGTGCAAATATAACGCTTATCATTTGCCAAAGACGTAACAAATAGTAGCACTTCACGCAATGAGGGAGTGCAGTTTTGCAATTAGGCGGGCACTCTCAAATGCGTAATCTGCGCTGTACGCGAACGGCGACGACCGCCAAAGGGTCGAGGCCTTAACTTGACTGTTGCATGCGAGGTTCGTGAATTGACGCCGCTGCCGCCCATGGCCACCCAGGAGGCAGAGCTGAAGGAGGAGCTTGTGGGCGACGAGGAAGAGGAGGGTGGTGCCGATGACGACCTGGATTTCAACCTGCCCAAGAAGAAAAAGAAGAAGAAGAAGATCACCTTCGGCCTCGTGGACGCAGACGGGGACGCCGAGGGCGACGACGACACCACTTTCAGTGAGCAGCACCCCTCCCTACTTGCCTTCCTTTGACCTTGATAGCCGTATACTTGGCCAATTATTATACCCTGTTGCAGGTTAAGAAAAGCCGGACAAGTTCCTCCCGCAAATTCCTTCCACTCTCCGCTCAGCAGAGCAAATGCCAGAGAGGTGGTGAGACGAGGCGAGGAGGGACCTGCCTCCTCTCCGGTGTTCCCTCTGCCAAAGTGGAAAGGCATGGAGGGCATTGCGAGAGGAGCTTGCCATGCTTTTCTTAACTTTAACAGGCCATACCGATCGGTCAAGTGCATGCGGATATCAAAAGTGTGTTTCAAGTGGGGTTCCAAATTTGTTTCAGTCTGGCAAACCCTTATCATGTGGTTGTTGTTGAAACATGCTTATTTACATGAAGCCGAAAGGATCCGTCATGTCGCTTGACTGTAGCCCTCTTGAATGGAGGCATGGGGAGGTGGAGATTGGACAAAGAAGACAGAGAAAAATATAGAGGGCGAGGGATAGTTACATGTACAAGGGAATTTGAGCGACGAGCCAGAAATGTGCTATCGCACGGTAAGCGTGCACCACCGAGTTGCTCCTAGCAGAAGCATTTTGCCGCACGTCGCGTGTGGCAGCCGACCGTAGTTTCTAACCAATGTCGGCTTACGCTAGCACTGTGCCTTGCGGAGCGCAAGTTTGTCTGCTTCTTTTGCAGGGGTTGTGGTGACTTCAGAACGCCGATCTCTGATTGACTCTGATTGATGGATAGTGGGTAGACCTCAAAGCAAGCTGCCATGGCGTCTACCCACTATCCTTCAATCAGAGCCGATCAGAGCTCAGCGTTCTGATGTCACCACAACCCCTGCAAAAGGAACAGACGAACTTGCGCCTGCATATAAAAACTTTCCGTGCCACGGTCGGCGCTAACTTCAATGACGCCATATATGGAAACGGAAAACACGGATCCCCTTCATGGCGCTGAGCAGCCATAATCACCTCATTCCTGATGAACCTGCTCGATCTGCCAGTGAGCGAAGAACAATTTATAAAAAGAAGAGTGAGAAACACTTCTGCAGATTTGATCAATTGCTGGCACTGGCAAAATGTCGTCCGGTACTAGTTACCAGACCAATGAACATGCAGGCATGTCATGGAGGCATATTCCAGCACAGATACACGAAGTATGTGGCTTCTATCCCCACGTTTGCCACTTTTATTGCGGAAACAATAGAATTCGAGCTTTGAGCCAGTCCTGCGAATAGAATCACACGAGAACAGATACAGAGCACTGCTGGACTAGGGGCGGATCCAGAACTCCGTTTGGGGGGGGGGATTTGTAAGGATACTATTCTCTCACTCTTTCTTGTACACCAGGGGTCCACCCATGGCAAATTGCCCTCCGAGAAGTGGGGAGGGGGTCGACTTTGTTTGGGAAAGTTGCTGCCCCCATCGCCCCCCGCCCCCCCTTGGATCTGCCCCTGTGCTGGACACAGATCACAACTCTGATTTCGGGAGAGTTAGGAGATGTGCTATTTTTTTCAAACCTTTCCATCGATCCAATCTGAATGTGGAAAATTTCGGGTGTTAGGGTACAGAGTGGAACCTGTACATCGGCGGCTCTCTAACTTTTGGCTGCCATGGACACCCCGATCCATTCTGAGGCCGTTGGATCCCCATGCCTTCAGCATCGGAGGTTTTGTGCAACAACATAAAAAAGCTTTTCTTCTTTTCTTTTTAGGGCGTTTTTTTTTTTTTTTTTTTTGGTTTGGCACGGACCCCCATAAATGCTCTTGAGGACATCTGGGGTCTGGCAGACCACAGTTTGAGAACTGCTGCCCTGGATAATAAAAACCAGTATAGTAAAGACATGGATGCAGTGAGGCAGAATTGAAGAGTACTTGTATCTTGTATGTACATGCATTCAGGTGCTGATAGGGTGGAGATTGTTTCTGAGACACTGATAAGTATTTTTATTGTATTGGATACCGTGAGCCTCCCAAAGGTTTGTTTGCACGTTGCAAACTTTGGAAGGCCGAGTTGAAGAATATTGACTCGGTTAAGGTCCGAGTTCGAAAGGAGTACTAATTGCTGTCAGCAAAGGCCACAAGTACATGAAGAGGTAAGCTTGGAACGCTGAAATGATACTTTTGAAGAATGCCGTTGGCACTCTAGCACTTACACAATATGTGCAACGCTACCGGACGCTTTCTGACTGCGTTCAGGAACGTTGTCGAAACTTCTAGTGTCCAGACGAGGTTGTTTGACCCAGTGGAAAGAAACCCATTTACTGAAATTGCTTGGAACCGTCGAAGGAAAGTTTGCGGCACCTTTTCTGCGGCTGAGTGGTGACTTTGGTTTGCAGCGGACGACGCAGACCCCAAGTCGAGCATCACCACGGGTTCCAGCACATGGTCTGGCAGCGACCGGGACTACACATACGATGAGGTGGGGGCCTTTGTGGAAAAACCCGGGCCGGCCTGCTTCGGGCGAGGCAGTCTTTCTTGAAATCCCGATAAAGAAAAGTAAAAACTATGCGAATGCAGACCGAGGGGCTAAAGCGGTAGATGATATTTTCCCTCTAAGCTTGGCGGACGGCGGTGCATCGTCCACTTGTTGCGTTGTGTCACTTTGTAGCGTTGCGGTCTCATGTCGTACCAGCATACTTGCCAAGTCTCCCGGACTGCCTGTGTTACGTACAAGTTCTGACCATTTTATGCAGTCATACTATCGATGGGAAAAATCTCCCGGTAACAAAGTTTACCGCTTAGGCTGGTGTCATCCAGAGCTGTGAAATAACTAATTAGATTATCTAAGTGACTGTCATTAAGTTACATTTTCTAATAACTTTACCGAGTTTCAATCCTAAGCGTGTAACTGTAATTTGCAGTGATGGAAGAACTGTGCCATTTGTGCCATGAACGAGTTCTATACATCTTGCGCCGAAGTGCCTTTTTTGCTAAGAATTGTGTCACACCTGTACCAAAACAGGCTTAAGCAAAGCAAAAAAATTAATATATTTTATTATTAGTCCACTCTAATATTTAGAGAAGTAGGAGGAAAGCGAAATGGTAAAAATATGCAATTTTAAATAGTTTGTACTAAGTCTAGTTATTTCATTTTAGGTCAGAGCACAATCAAAGGCTCGATTACGTACTACTAAGGCTGACTGAGACTTCTTTGTGCAGTTGTTACAGCGGGTGTTCAACGTGATGCGGGAGAAGAACCCGGACATGGTGGCCGGGGAGAAGAAGAAGCTGGTCATGAGGCCACCGCAGGTCCTCAAGGTGGGCACCAAGAAGTCCTCCTTCGCCAACTTCCTCGAGATCTGCAAGATGTAAGTACACGCCTTCCCGCCTTACGCACGACCACACTTCCTCGTTGTTTTCTACACTTTGCTTTACCGCAGCCTGGCAAAGGGAAAGCGCTACGGCCCCTGTGAGTCAATCGGAGTGACACGGTGAAGATTGTGAATTCTCGGACTTCTTGATCTTGAGGAACGCAACCTCTCTCAGATGGCAGCTAAGGAACTCCTTCTGGTCCGACATTGGCACAATAAAGCACCGCAGAAAGCTATGAACCCCAGAAAGACAAGTGCAAACCTTGATAGATGACCCGGATCACATCAAATGGGGCTTGAACTGGCAGGACATTCAGACACTGCGGTCGGGGAAAATAGGGAGTTCGGGGAAGGCTTTGAGGGGTTTTTGGGGGAACCCACCAAGTTCCAAGGAACCCAGTTTAGGAACCCACGTTCTGGACCGGAAGGTCGCAGACCTCGGCCCACACGCCGGATCCGGCTTGCCTTCTTGCCAGTCCGCGGCGCTTTCCAGCGGGTCTGCTGCTACTGGTGCAAAAATAAGCGGTAGTAAAGAAACGGCGCTGGAACGCTTGGTATCTGTTTTGAGTCTGCTCCTGCTGATATAGTTGCGTGTCATATTTACTGCTCATTGTCATCACCGGCATCATTGGGGTTAAACCCTGTGTGAATATGCCAACGGTCCTAAGTGCTTTGATCTGTGCTGCGTGTGTTTTCTGTGGAAAAATTATTGTATGTCATAATTAGCTAAATATTGAATTTGACTGTACTAGAGTGGAATCTCATTAATTTGAACCCAAGGGGGACCAGAACTTTGTTTGAACAATGCAAAGTTTGAATTACCAAGAGTTTTCTTCCTAGAAACATATAGGACGGGACCTGCATGGTACTTTGAACTACTATCAGCAAGTTTGAATTCACGAGATTCCACTCTATATTGAACTGTACAGTATAGACCACTTACAACGTAACCGCTTATAGTGCAGGACCGGGTATAACGCGCTTTTTTTAAACCACGAGTTCGCCTCCCATAGAACTCCATGTAATTACATACCGCTTAAAATGCAGGCGCGCGAAGGGAAATACCGGTTATAGTGCGGTTTCTGGTACAGACCGCCGATCGCGCCGACGACCGGAGCAGCGAGCACGCTCCCCTGTGCGACACTAGATAACAGCGCCGACGGCGCAAGCGGCACTCGCGGGGCAAGGAGGTTGCTCGGAGGAGCGGGGAGAAGCGAAGAGAGAGGCTTCAGTTGCCATAGTGACGGAGGGACGCACGCGCGTGTCGTTCACGTGCGTGCGTCACTCCGCTGCGTTGGAAACAAACTGCAACGACAGACCAATCGCAGGCCGAGGAGAAGTGTTCGCGCGCGTTGCATGCCGGTCGCGGGCCAGCTGCTTCTATCTGCAAACATGGCGTCGGTTGTGATCGTCGTCGTAGACGGCGTTCATCTCATCGTTCCGCGTAAAAGCGCTATCCTTGACTGTGAATTTTCGTTGTGTGTCGCTATGATAACCCAGCACACACTAGAAGGGAAGATCCATCTACTCGTGCGGCGATGTCGTGGCGGCGCTCTCAAGACAGCAGAAACGCCCGTGTCGTCGTGTTTGTTTACTTCGACTACAGTGGTGATTTCTAAGCATTTATGTCCTCGAACATCGCCCGGATTTCTTATTTGGCGCATTTTATGCGTGTGCTCAAGTTCAAGGTATTACTGGCGCGTACTGTATGAAGGATGCGAATTTTCACGCGTTTTCATCTCCGGAGAAAAGTGATTAGGGTTACCAATACTGAACGCTCGCAACGTCCGTCCGCAACCCGCGACGCCTTTCAAAGGCTGCGCCAGGCAAAAGCCGCTCATTTCTTTCAAAATGTGTGACACACTTGAGACAGAACTGTACTAGTCTGGTGAAATAAAGACTTTCCTCAAACTAAGCTTTCTTTTTCATCTAACATAAAATAAATTCTTTTACAAAGGTAAGTTGTCTCATGGCATGTATTTTGGCCTGAAAAATTGATGTTTTGGTTATAGCGCGGTACCGCTTATAGTGGGGATTTTCGCGACTCCCGCGACATACGTTATATGCGGTCTACACTGTATTTCACAGACTCGCGGTGCTGCAGGACGTCTTGCGACACCTTAATTCGTTGTCGTGTCACGTCAACAAGCCACGTGTCGCTCTGCGTCTATTCTGTGTGAAAAGAGTTTAATACCTAAACCTATTTTAAGCTTTGTCAACGTCAGGGGTCCACCGCACACCTCAGTTAGCCAAAGTAATAAAAAGAAAAGAAAAAATGAGACGTTTACAAATCTCTAATGTGAAATTAGAATGCAGCTCTTGAGGAGGAGGAGGAGGTACAGAGGGGAGGGTGTGCCCCTCCTCTTCCTCTGTACCCTCCCTCCTCCTCCTCCCACAGTTTCCTTACTAAATTTAGCTGAAAAACTGATGCCTCGTCACCTCAACACCAATTCAGTTTCCCCACTAAATTTAGCGGGGAAAATGATGTCCCATAACGTCTATTTCCCCGCTGAATCTAGCAGAGAAACTGAATTTGTCTGTTGAATCTAGCGAAGAATCGAGTTGGTGTTGAGGTCACGTGACACCAATTTTCCTGCTGAATTTAGCGTGGTTACGCCGACGCCGCGAAACCCGGAAACAGGCGCCTAAAAGCTGTGTTCTAAAAGTGACCCATGCGTGCCTTGTATATTTCAGGTTGCACAGGCAGCCCAAGCACGTACAGGCATTCCTGCTGGCCGAGTTGGGCACCAGGTAAGTGGTCTCCCTAAAGGGGAAAGGGGGCACCCCTCTGACCTCTCTCTCTCTCTCTTGCCTCTGCAGTGGCTCTGTGGACGCCAACAACCAGCTCATCATCAAGGGCAGGTTCCAGCAGAAGCAGATAGAGAACGTCCTCAGGCGTTACATCAGTGAGTGCAACCCCCGCCCACTCTCCGAACCGACTTTGATCATGCAGTCCCCAACCGATTTTATGGCCGCCGTAAATTCAAACTTTTTCGTTATTTCGGATATACACGAGGAACCGTGATTCACCCAAGTGAAAAAGTACATATTAACAACCAATTTTTCAAACAGTTTGCAGTCTGAAAGGTTGATTTTTCGGACTAAAATGGTTACGAGTGGCGGCGGCTGCCTGTCATTTTGGATTTTTTGCTGGCTTGACCATTGGCTCGGCTCGATGTTTTAGATGAGTTTTGTAAGTTTGGCAGCACTATTTTAGCGCTGCGAAACGAGCCACTAGGCGTGCTATGCTGCGCCTTTTGTATTTTTATGCACCATCTTCGTCGTCTTAATTTTTTTCTTCGGTCGATTTTGCATCTCCAACCAGCTTTTTGTTCTGTTTATGTGCCAGTTGCCATCCGATAAGTGTGGAGTGCGCTGTTGACAGCTTCTAAACTTCGCCCCTAAATGTCTCGCGATTTTGTCACTTGGTTCTGCGTCGACACGTGCTTTGGAGCCCATGGCCTCTTCTTACACTTCCGCCGGGTGAGGACATGACGTCGACACAAACGCAAGCGGACACGATCGCCCGTGAGCGTAACAGGACACGAGGTACTCTTGAGCGACTTTTTAAATCCCGCTTAGGCTCAGTCTGCAGACTATTAAGTTTTGTAGTCTGCAGATTTTTCGGACTGTTCTATTGTTCGGTCGCTTTTTAGGCCCCCACGAAGTCCGAAAAATCGGTCGGAGCGCTTATCACAAACGCTGCCTAGATGAAGAAGCCATAGTGCTGACTCTTCTGTGATAGTGAGAACTAGCGCGGGTCGCATATTGGACGCGAGTGCTGCGTCACGCATCATCATTCGGCACTATGGTTTTCTATCTAGGTGGTGTCGTTACTACCGTTTTCGACCGCCGAGACCTCCGTGCCATTGCAGAAAAATAGCTTGCCCTTTTCATTGCTTAGACTTGGCATAGGAAGACTGTCAATTGGCTGTCCGAGCGTGCCAAGTACAGATTTTGGAACTCGTTAAGGGGGGAGGAACAGGGGCCATTTCCAGCATCTGTCACCCAAGCAAAAGTCGACGCGTCCCCAAGTTGTGTTCGCATGTGCAGCGTGGAGTATTAGACTCACGAGAGCTACTGTGCATGCTCGGAGTGCGTTCCACGGTCGGCGGACAAAGATGGCAGCATGCGGAGGACGATTATTGCAATGGTCGATACCAGGGGTCGTCAACCGTTCGCAGCGGTGGGCTGAGTTGTCATGAAGTCGACACAGAGGGCCGGACAGCAAGTCGCGTAGAGGAAGGCGGTGGGGGGGAGGGGGGGGGAAGGGGGTGACAAAACAAATGCAAGAAGGAAATGAAGACATTCTCTGCCCAAGCATGGTGATGCCGGACAATGCCAATTGGGAGCGGTCCTTGTTTCTGCTAACCCCATGCGAGGTCCTAACTGTGCCGTGTGGTTCTTGGATCTGCGTGAGAAAGCTGCAGAGGGGGGGGGTTCGTTTTCTGGGGTCATGCCGGGAGCCGCATGCAGCCCGCGGGCTGGGGTTTGCTAACAACTGGTCTATACACTTCATTCCTCTCAGAGTCGTTCATTTATTTTGTGATCGAGCGAAAGGAAGGGGGACGGAAGGTGCGGGAAGCAATGTCGGGAACGAAAATTAACTTTTGAGGTTGTCGTAGTTGGAGAGCCACAAGTAAATTTTAAAAACCGCCACGACCCAAGAATACTTCTTCTAAACAGATACATTTTCTGGACTGTAGTCTGCATCGGTATATGGTCCGAACCTGAAAAGATTCTCATACACAGCACACCTTGAAAAGTGCCTGGTTTATTGGAACACACAGAAGCTTGTGCTACCATAAATCACCCTTCACAGAAATAAAGCTTAATTAGCTCGCAGATTATCGTAAAGAAACTGTCCTTCGCAAAATCTGCCTCCTTTCGTCGTAATAAACTATCTTAAAACAACAAAAAAAAAATCTTGGTATAGTCCGGAAAATATTGAGATCTCAAAATTACTGCTACCCCATCTTTGTGCATGGGCTTTGTGTTTAAAAAAATAAGAAATTTGTGAGCAGGTGGTTGAATGTGTTTCAGTTTACTCCGGCTTAGAAAACACGGGTTTGAATCCCCATCCAGATAACTTTTCCTGGTTCATGTTGAATTTTTTTACGTTTTATGCTTAATTTCGATAATTTAGACATAAAACTCCTTGTTTCCGGGTTTTATATTAAAAAAAAAAATTGAGAGGTATTAATCGAACAGTACAGTAGAACCTCATGAACATGTTTAAAAAAAAAAAGTGTGAAAAAAAACAAAAAAACTTGTTGTCCGGGAATTTGTATAATCCAAACTTAACTCTTTCCTTACCATGGGAAAACTGACCATTTATAAAAAGTCTGTGTTCTTATTTTTTTTTTTAAACATATGCTTCTAAATTTTGTTGGACCATATCAGGGGTGGCCAGGCTGAGCCGGCATAAGAGCCGAAAACAAAGCCACGATACTTCCAAGAGCCGCAAAAAGAGGGGGGGGGGGGGGCAAATTTTTGTCCATCTAGCAATAAACGAAACTTTAACTACTTTCAATCTATCCGAGTCAAAAGAAGACTATGTAAAGGTGCCGCAGCACAAGACTACCAAACCGCAACCTGTCTTCCAATTTAAAACACAGTCCATTTCTCTTTTTGGGGAAGTGCTCGTGTGACCGACGAGAGTTGGAGGGGGAGAAAGCCGCGAGCCGCACTTCAATGCGCTAAGAGCCACAGCTTGGCCACCCCTGGACTATATCAAACTGTAGCACTATAAATGCTCTTTTTAATTACATAACTATGAACCCTGTACACATTTTGGTAAAAGAAACTTGTTTCGAAGTTCTGAACCTCTGAATATGCAAGAATACAACACTTCCGGCGAATTCTTCATAGTTTTTTTTTTCTCCAGCTTTTTATCCCCACATTTATTCTTTTTTTTTTTTTTTGTTACTATTGGCACAGGTATTTAGGTCGAAAAGACATAGCTTTGAACTTCCGAACCACTAAGCATGTGACAAGTAGTGCCTTCTAACAACGAGTTTCTAACAATGACCATCTACGCAATCTTTTATGCAGTGAAGAGCGACAGTAGCTATACATATGCATAAATAATTTCAGATTAAAATAAGCTCGATCATGCCCTCTTTCCCCGTATTGTTTTCTTTAACAGTCTGAAATATCTGGAAGGGGTAAGAGGAAGCTGAAGCCCCCCCCGCCCCCCCCCCCCCCTCCTCCCGCTACCCTCTTTCCCCCCGTTTTTCCTCTTCTGATGCCACTTGTATGGTAGAACGCTCCTCGACCTCGAGTTGTGTCGGCTTTTTGCGAGGCGATTCCTCCATCTCAGAAAATAAACCTCCAGGACAATTACAAACTTAATATATGCCAGCGTCACTCGGGCGGCGTTCGATCGGATTACTACCAGCGTGCAAGGGGTGGCGAGGTAGTTTGCCAGGTCGCTTCAATGTTTTTCTGAGCCTCAACCTCCTGCTTGCCCCTGGCCGTTTCGAACTGGATGAGTCTTGTCAAACAGTGTGTTCGTGTGATCACTACTGCGTGATGCAGGTTAAAGACCCCTCCCCCCCCGGGCTGGCGGTCACAATTAGTGATCTATGGTCACACGTCACTCTGCACTGGCAAATATTCCAGCACATCCGGGACACTCGTCGTCTCATTTAATTGCCTGACCAACTTTGCAGAATTTAGATATCACACCCTTATAGCTTTTCTAAACTTGATTTTGTGAAAACCAGTGAGTCGTGAAAACATTATTTGAAACTGAAACTGGTGGAGGAACTTGAAAACCGGACTTCAAACTTTGAAAACTTGGACTAGAAAAGAATTCAAAATCTTCTAAGTTTTTTTTTTTTTGTAACGTTAAAAGAGAATCGAAACATTTGAACTTTTCGAACTTTATGCAGAAAGAAATTTGAAATCTTCAAATTGTTCGAACTTCATGTCTATAAAAATTCGAAGCTTTCGAAGTTTTTGAATTTTATTTCCAAAGAATTTCGAAATCTTCGAATTTATCGAACCTGAAGTAAAAAAAATATATTCGAATTATTCGAATCCGAAATTTTAGAAACCGTGAAAGCTTCGAACCTTTCGAATTCGAAACTCCACTGCGATCGAAAGTTGTGAATTTTTCGAATTCGAACCTCGGTCGGTACGAAAATATCGAAATTTTTCGAAATCGAACCTCAGTTCGCTACGCAAATATCGAAACCTTTCGAAATCAAATTTAGGGTGGTTCGTGACATCCCTAGAACCAAGCCAGTGAAAAATCCAAGATGGCAGCCTCTCTTGCGGCTGCCACTCGTAACTATCTTAGTGTGAAGAATGGCACTTTCGGACTGCAAACTGTCCGAAAAATTGGTCGTTAATATGTACTATTTCGATTGGGTGAGTCACAATTCTTCGTTGATGTCCAAAATAACGAGCAAGTCCAAAATTTCAGCGTCCGAAAAATCGGTTGGAGACTGTAAATGAAGAATCAAAGAAAAGTCAATTTTTGGGAAACCACTTTTTTGGGATGTATACTCCATACCAGGTATGGGCAAAATACATGCAAATATGTATCGAAATACAAATACAAAATACTTCGTCAAAAATGTATTTAATTACAAATCTAATTACATTTCCAAAAAGCATTTAAGTACAAGATACAAATACAACGAAATGCATTTGGTCTCCTCCAAATACTTTTCCAAGTACATTCCTCAAAATTTGCGTCAGCGACTTCAGGGCACCTGCAAAGGGTTTCTGGGTATCTCATTTTAATTTTGCATCGCACACTCGGGAGTTAGTGTGCGATGTAATGTAATAATGTAATCACTAGTAATGTAGTAATGTAATAGAAATATAATCACTAAAAGATGTAATCAGCTTGGGCGTAATAGGTAAAAAAAAGTACTGAGCTTCAAGCAGCTTT